TGAGTTTGAGGCTGAGGAAGCTATGGTATCTGTAGCAATGGGCCTCATTTTTATTGCTTTTGCACTATAAATCCACCTCTGACTAATTGTACCAACGACACCGCTGAATCCACAATTTTATAAAATTCTCTCCTTGCTCAGATTGTTTGGATTTTGCTCTATTCTAGATTTGAGATTCTTATAGATTTTTCAACCCTTGTAACTGGATAGCCCTTTAGGTATATGACACAAACTGCAATATTTTGTGTTGGTTTGTTTCACTCACCAGAGATGTATTATTCACTGCATTTCAGAGGCCGTTTGTAATGTCACTGGAAGATTAGGGTATGGTTTGTCTACTTTTACCCTTTTTTGATTCTTTTTATGTCATTTATTTTTCAATACTTTGTGATGGTTTCAGGTCTACGCAAAACAAACCCAATGGGAGATTGTTTTTTACTTTGACTCTTCTTTATTTTCTTTTAAAACATTTGTTTTTTGAAAAGTAGACAGATGAAATTTTTAAAACTTATTTTCGCTTATTACAATACAATGTTTTTTATAGAATTTGGACTTTTCCATGTTTATATAATTGTAAACATTATTGGAATATACTAATGTACTTAAGATGGCTTACATGTTTTTTATCCATGTCCTCTGATCTCTGGCTGGCCCATTCAGGCCTGGGAACTTCTCTCACTTATCGCTATTTCAGGTTCCGATTTGGTGGATAACCAAGTTCAAAAAACCAACAGGCGTTGATGACCTGCCTGTTTCACGCCCTACTAAATAAAAAAAAATTTAGGCCTGTTTTCGACACAAATCAGTACATTTTTATGATTATTGATTTTGTAAAAATGTATCGACAAGAAAAATTTAAATCCGGAAATAAATGGTCTAAATACAAATTATCCAAAATATATATATATATATATATATATATATATATATATATATATATATATATATATATATATATATATATATATTTATATTTATTAGAACCTTCTAGAAACAGTATACTTACTATATTTTTCTAATTTTGTAGTTTAGTTCCAATTTATTTTTGAACTCATAAATGTTTCTTCTCACAGTTCTGCTCTCACTTTTCTTATGTTACTTTTCTTATGCTCTCACGATATATGATGTTAATAGTTCTAATAGATACACTCGTTTCAGGTGGTCCCTCTTTTCGGCAGTATTTAAAATATTAAAAATCACTATACACACACACATATTGTAAGGTTACGTTCCCTTCGAAAAGTAAACAAAACAGTTTGTGAATAAAATTATATTTATTTCATGCAATAATTATTTCTCAGGTTGGCTTGAGACAATAAACACACATCCTCAACTATACAATATAAAAGCATACATTAATTATACAGCACATTTATGAATTTCCATTGTTTTTCGGGGTCTAATCTTGGCACGCTTTCAAACTGTCCATTTATATTTCACTCACCCTGTTCTGCAGTGAATCTTCCTCCGTATTGTATCCAACTTCTACAACTTTCTCTTTTTCTATTATTTTCTTGTCTTCGTCTAGTTGTAGACACTCACTACTTGTTAACTAACATTTTCTTCTCACCAATCCTCTTTACTAGCCGGCCGGCTACCTTCTGCCCTCACATATGGAACTCTTTCCCGACCATCTGTCATTCTTTGTCCATTTTTGGCAGTAGTTCGTGACGTCACTACCTTCGCGCCACTATTCAAAATCACTATGTAATATTTACATTACAATATATATATATATATATATATATATATATATAATATAATAGGAGAAAATAACTAAGTTCAATATATATATATATATATATATATATATATATATATATATATATATATAATAGGAGAAAATAACTAAGTTCAAGAAATTAATAAAAAAAATCTAAGAAATCATTGAATATTTTAAACATCACTTCAAAGAAAAAAGGCAAGATAACCAGAAATAAAACACATTTAGTGAAGCGATACGGTATAAGGGAAGACCTCAAATATTTCTCAGTTAAAAATACAATTATTTTTAACAAGCTTTATGTTTATTTATTTATTTGCATTGCATTAGTATCATTTTAACTAGCAAGTGAGTTGGCCAAGTTTTGAAATTTTAAATAGATTTTTTTGCAAAACAATATAAAAATTTGGATTTTAATCGTAAGCGTAGATTTGTGGCGCACCCAGGCAATTATGACACCCTCTCTTCAGAAAAGAATAAACTGTACAAGATTATTTTGGCTCGTAAGGTGTTTAAGAAAAACGATTTTAAACAAAAATTATTTGCTTTTAACATCAATGAGCCATACAATGTGAGATTGTTCAGATTTTTTTAAAAAAACTATACAAGGGAAAGAAGAACAACTCTATTTTCACTTGGACATTTTTAAAGCTGTTAAAGCTTTGCCGAGATTCGCAATGTCAAGTTACCGAAATGGCGGATTATTGCAGATATATTAAAAAAAAATTAATATAATAACATCATATATAATTATATCAATATAAACCATTAAATTAAAATAAACCAGTATTATAATATGAAGAAAATAATTTCTTGTTGAAAATAATTACAATAAATAAATAAAAAAATAAATGAATTCTTAGTAAATATAGTTTAACATCATCACAGTTAGATAAATTTAAGTTGAAATTTAATCCATGCAGTTCTATCAGATTAAGTAAGTCCCTAAACCATGCGGTTTCTTTTTTAATTATTTGTGGTGCTAATATTTTTGGATATCTATGTGGTGGAATTTTCAAAATTTTTATGATATAATCAAAATGGAGTTTAATTGTGAAGATAAATAACGGATCTATTTTAGTCTCAAAGTGAATAAAATGTATTGGAGTATTCTTTGGTAATTTAAATTATTTTTTAAGAAAGAATCTTAGTAGTCTTTCCATGGCTTCATAACTTACCCCACCCCAGTTTTGTGCTCCATAGCACATCACTGCCTTACTAACGGAATTAAATACTTGTAACTTTTTGGATAGAGCTATATCTTTGTTTTCCATAAATTGGCACCAAATCAAATTCAAACCCACCTTGGCTTTTTCCAGTTTTTCTGCCAGGTGTTTGGACATTGAGAGAATAAACGTTAGAACTATTTCTAAGTATTTGTACTGTTGTACTACGTCTATACTTTTGGAGCCCATGAACCATTTACGTGATGGCTTACCACCATTGCGAAAGACCATTATTTTAGATTTTTCGAGATTTATTCTCAAATTCCATCTTTTACAGTATTTGTCTAGTAATATTACTCTGTAATGTCGCTGGATGTGAATGTGATAAGAGAACAATACCATCCGCAAAAGCTAGATACTTAATTTTACAATTTTCCTCAACACAAATACCACCATCTAAACTTTCTTCCAAATCATTTATATATAATGAAAATAGAATCGGACTAAGGAAACAACCTTGTCTTACACCCGATTCCATACTAAATGGTTTCGTCAAACCATCCAAACCCCAAACTGAAGCATTAGTATCGCTAAGCAAACTTTTAATAGAATTAATTAATTTAGATGAAAACCCTAGCTGCTATAATTCAGAAATTAGACTAGAAAAATCTACGAAAAATGCATAAACTTTTTCCTTTTTCTTTTGTCATTTTACTTTAAGTAGACTCGTTAATGTGCGTATGTTATCGATTGTTGAAAATTTTTTTTTTCTAAAACCAGCCTGAGCTTCTTTAATTATATTGTTTTCATCAATCCAGTCCAGACATCTAGCCAAAATCAAGCCCATATATAACTTGGCAATTGCATTAATGAAGGAGATTCCCCTGTAATCAGCCAAATTTTTATCCCCTTTTTTATATAATGGGAAAATAATGTTTTTTTTTAATGTTAAAGGGACATACGCCATTTCAAAAATTCTATTAAATGTAGCCAATAAAATGATTAAAAAGGAATTGGGAGCATACTTGTAAAATTCATAAGGGATCCTATCACTTCCTGGTGTTCTGTTATTTTTGGAGTTAACCAAAATCGCTTTCAACTCACCAAGAGAGAAGGGTCTATCTAAAATAGTATTAGTAATATTAGGTTAAACGTATAAAATTCTGTTTGAAATTAACGGAGGGTTGTACAGAGTTTTAAAGTGCATAAGCCAACCTTGTAATGATATATTACCTACAGACCAGTAATTTATAAAATACAACATACAAATAGAACATTTTTAAAATGAATTTTCAGCAAACATTTTGTTTTATATTATATTTTAGTTTGCTTTCAAATGATTTATGGGGAGGGGGGAGGAGCATTGCCTATTTCCTCTGAAATAATTGCATGAGCGTTGTCAAAAAGAGGTAATTTTTTTTTTTAAACAAGGTGTCAATTAATTTGAGGATGGAATAATTAGTCTTTATTTCATAATTACTTTCTTGCAGAATGTTGAAATACATCAACCAACCTGTCCCTGATTATAATATTTCATAAGTTTTTTTGTTTTGTATTTGTTTCTACTTTATTTTAAATTTGTTTGGTGTCACATAGCTGAAGACAAGACATTACTTGTATTTATTATATAGATAGAATAAAGGTAATGCATACTTCAAACAAGCAGCGCCCTTTGAGTCAATCCTGAAACTGGAAATACGGAAGACAATGCCCCACTTGTGTTGAGTACTTAGAATAGTCATATATGCCGCTCTTCCAAGTATATGGCTCTCTTAGATATTTTTCATATATACCTAAACCTCAGTGTCTTTTTCCTGGTTTAAAAGTTTTCTTAAAATCAAAAACTTAATGTGCCCCACAAAAATCCTTATGGCGCAACTTGTGACATAAAATCCCCTTCTGGGCACCCCTGCTTCCCTTAATATTTTTCAATTGAATGAACAAGAAATAATACTCTTTTGTGGAATCTATGAAAAAACAATCATAAAATCAATGGAAAATGACAACAAAGAAAGGGTTATAGAAACAAAATATAAATGGCAAATATCTTTTTATTAATTCAAAATGTCTTTACATAAGCAACATTTCAAAATCGTATTTATTCTTTAAGGTGCACACCTAAGAGAAATATAACTTCATAGAATATAAATCTCTGGAAACTTTATTCTAGATACAATATTTTTTTAAAAAATAAAGTATTTTCTCTTATAAAAAAGTGATTTTATGAATTTTTTTTTTTACACAAATAAAAGGACATATTTTCTTAAGAAAAATATAACTCATTAAATATGCCTTATCCTATGTAATCAGTTAGTTATTGAATAATAATAAAAATGAACATCAATGAGAATATGGTAACCTCTTAATTTAATGTCTAATGCATAGCATATAGTTTAGATACTCCTTAGCTACTTAATCGCTAAAAAGATAAAATATTCATTACGTAAATTTTATTTAAAATGTACTTTAACAAATGAGATCTATTGTTAACATTGAGAAAATATTTCACCTAAATAATTTCTACAATTTAGATGAAGTGAGTTATAACAATGACACAGCAGCTGTCTTATGAATCAAGCAATAATACTTTCAATAAAAATGCCCAATATATATAAAAACACATATGTCTAATAAGGTACAGAGAGATCATAGTTTTTCAATTCAATGACGAGTGAAAGAACAACAAAACAAATTATGCAAAAGTTATAAAAATTCTGGCAAAGTCAGAAAAAAAAAACCTATATAATACTTCATAGAAGTAAAAAAAAGGAAATTAATAAATTTCTCCTCATGCGTGTGACTATAGAGCAAAGCAAACCTTTCTTATACTTAATAGAAAGAATGAGAGCCAGACTATACGTAATGGTATATTACAGTTAATAATTTAATAAATATTGCACATAAAATTAACTAAGAGAAATAAATGAAAAAGCCTGCTAATAGAAACACCAGTAGTAATTTTTACTTTCACTTGCATATATATCTAATATATAGTAAGGGAAAGTATTGTGATTGTGAACATATTGTTTTTATTATTTGACAAAATTCTGTGTTTATTACCTATTAGCTTATATTAAGTTATTAGCTTCCAATAACTATCAATTTTCTGTGAATATGAAGCAGGAAGTAATGTTCTGTTTTCAAATAAAATAAGCTAATTTTCGTCAAATAAATTCTCAAAGAATTTTTAATAAACTCATCAATCATTTTTTATAAATATATTTTTGCCATTATCAGCATCATTAATGGCATATAAAGGAGAGTACTGAATGTCAATATCATAATAAATGATAAAAAATAAAGCTAACAACTTCACTGCTAAGTTGAGACATAAATTGCAAATTTGGTAACTAAATTATATATGTTATACTTTTTACAATTACATTGTTCAAAGAAATAACTTTCAAATGAATATTGTAGATGCAAAAATTAAAAAACTTAAGCTTGTCAAACACCGTTAACTCCATACATCAAAACCTGAAGACATTTCATTTGATTGTCAGTCTTAAAAGACCAATGATTCAACTAATACACATATTCGAAGACAACTCATTTATAACTATTTCATTAACATAAACAAGTAATTATTACAATTAAGACTGAGCTAGATTTCCCATACGTTAAAATAAATTTTCAAGTATCAGTTAATAAGTAATAACAATAAAAAGGTCAATTTTATAACTAAAATTAAACTAATTGCTCATAATCATAAAGAAAAACGATAAAAACAAAAAAATTTTTCGTAAACTCATCACAGCCAGTAAAATTTAATATATGTAGTTCTTATTTTGTTTTAATACTTATCACCTTCCTATTTGAAGTAAAAGCACATTTAACAACTGTTGCTTTTATTCAAACTATATTTGATAACCATAAGAACACAAATTTTAACATTGCGAGCCATGAAATTTAAAACTATAAAGCTTTACCATATTTAAAAAATAAATATTAATCTTAAGAAAACAGAGTTATTTTTAAACTATTTTGGCAACTAAAACAGGATAATAAATATAATTACATAAGTTGGCTAGTAATTAATCAGTTGCTTTTGAAACAGCTATTTCAGAATGAATGTTAACTCAACAATATGTTATAGTAAGTATCACTTTAAATGATATCAAGTATTTTTTAAAATATGTTAAGGACATTCATCTGGTGATTATTAAGTTGGTGATGGACAAATTTGTTTTGAGGAGGGCTCCACTTCAAAACATTAGTTTCGATTTTTCCTGGGTCCATTGAAAGTTATAAAGCGGTAAGAAGGAGCACGAAGTAATACTTTTTCATTCTTATTATAATTTTAAAAGTGTAGCAACCTAAAAGTACCTGTGGTATTAAGGATTATCAGACTTTAAGAGGTTGCATTGCTTGATTGATAAAACTCTAAGATCATTCTTGAACAATACCATACCGATATTTTGGGAAAATGTCACTAAACTAAAAATAAATTGTCTTATAAATACATAATAAAATATATAAAGGGGAATCCAGTAAATCTTGATTATACTTGCAGAGAAATGTGTCATCAACTTAAAATTAATTTAAATAGAATTAATAAACTAAGATCCGTCACAATTTAAAAATAATAATAATTTATATATTTATTTATTTAAAAGTAGGCAGAAAGCTATCATAAATCTAATTAATATGTACAATATTGCATGAAAATATCACAAAATCCAATCTATGTATTTAAAAAAAGCGATTTACTTTAATAAAAATGTTAATTTACAAAATACAAAATAAAGGTACTCTGGTTAACGAATTGATAAAAGACAAAATTCAGTAGTTTAATACTAAAGTTAGAAGATTATCACTAGCCAAAAGATCACCTCAGTTTCCAAGAGCTGTTTGAACACAATTCATTGAATAAAATGAAAATCACCATTAACACAAACATTCAATAATAATAAAAAAAAAAAAAAGGAACAGGTTAGGTTTAAGGTGTCCTTGAACTTGAAGTTCCACAAGAGATTATATCATAAAAACTATAAAGTTGAATTAATATTGAATATTAACTTATTGTACTAAATTTAGTACCAAATATACCAGATGATGAAAGTTAGCAAATCGTAATAAAGCTGTCTTAATTTGTATTAAAAGACAGAAACTTTAGGCAGCTTGGTCTAAAGGGAAAACCTGAGTGATTTTACCAATTCCTTTGGTAAAACCTTCTCTGAAGAGAAGTCTTGCTCCAATTCTTATGAATTCTGGATGTCGAACGAACCTGAACAGAACTGGAGCAGAGTCATTGGTATACATGCGATGATCGAATGTCATTATACCTTCAATAACTGCAGTTTGTCTAATATTTCCTATGTGCACTGTAGTTTGGAAACCTGGCTGGATGCTGGTAGAATGATGTAGCAGGCAGATTGTAGCCTAAAAAAAAAAATCCATTTCATAAACAGATTAGATTTCACAGTGGCATAACACAAACAAACAAAATTGAAATAACATTTTGTGTATGAGAAAAATACTTTATTATTTGTTATGTTACAATTTTATTATTTTACACATACATTCATTCATAATATAGTAAATATAAATTAATGCATGTCTCTAGAAATCGTAAAAGGTCATGATATCCTGCAATTCAGTCCACCATCTTTTGAATATGCTCAGTTTAATTTATTTCCTTGGTATATTTTTTTGTTTGTTAGGGATATTTGTGGACTTCTAAACACTTTGATGTGCCATGAACATCCCTATTCAGATTATGCCAGAAAAAAGAAATTGCTCCTATCAGACCACGTTTGGGAAGACGAAACGATTTCACTCAATTATTTAGAAATAATATTCACTTTAGTCGAAGGCTGTTTAATAATTGAACAGGAAATTGTTCGGTCTTGTAAGAACTTATAGATGACCACAGAAGAGTAGGTTCATTGTTGATTATGTGAAGAGAAGGCTCACAGAGAATGTGCAAGTTACTTAAGTGGAAATTACGTGCATGATTTTTATCAAAATTGGACATTTTTGTAATACCTAATTTTGTTTATATTCTATAAACCAGGAGTCCCCAAACTTTTTGGCCCATGGGTCACATTGAGACATCCACTAAGTCCCGCGGGCCACATTGAGACCTCCAATAAGTCCTGTGGGCCATGGATTGTTGTGAAAAAAAGGTTTGTTCAATAAATGATAATTTAGTGGTGATGTGAGAAAGAGAAACAACTAATGTTTAAATATTGTAATATTTTACCATTTCACAGGGACTTCCGTGGGCAAGTATATAGTAGGGGAAAGTATTGCGATAGTGAAATTTTTTTAATCTGAGTTTTCAACGGAAATACATGATTTAAGGTCCCCTAAGTCTAAATAAATAAACCCCACAAAATGGTCAGTGTTTGTGTTATTAGTTTAGCTCAAAAATGAAAAGTTGTATGAAACTGAAAATATAAATTTAAGTCTGATATATGCCTGGGCTTTTACAGCAACTTTTTCATTAAACTCGGCCAACTGGAAGTGCCACTTTATGTAATCAATTTCACACGTTTTTACAATGTTTTGTTAAATGTAATCTCAGACAAAATGTTAATACTTTTTTAAGGTATAAAATAATTTTAACGTATTTAAGATAGGTACATGCCTTGGATGTGACAGCAACTTTTTTTTTTAATATCAAATAACCGGAAGTGACACTTTATATTAACGGTTATACACTTTTTTACAATTTTCTCAAAAAGGGCTCTAACGATTTTGATTGAACACAGTATATAAGTGTATTATTAAGTGGTCTTTAATATCAGCTAGGTCTTATCCACATTGATGTTCAATATTTCTTCATCTTAAGTATCATTAATTATGTTTATTTTTAATAAGCAACAGTCTCCCATTGTTATTAGTAATAAAAAAAAAGGCTCAATATAAACTTTGAAAGAATTTTATAACTGAATTAAAGAGAAAAAAAGAAAAACGTTGTTTCGGTTGAAAATGAATCTCGGGAAGTAATAGTCAGAATGTATACATATAATATATCATTGGAAAGCTAAGAATTTTAGAAAAAAATATTTAAGATAGATTTTTATAGAAGGTAATCAAGAGTGATGAAAAAATTATAAATAATAATATCTGAAAACTAAAATTTAGCCGAAACATGTTTCCAAGGAAATTAAATGACATTGTCTTACTAAATGTAAACTTTTAAAATTATGTTCAAATTTGAAAAAAAAAAAAAGTATATAAAATCCACTTAATAAAGGCAATGATATTGTTTAAAAACTATTTCATTGTACTCGTGTAGAAGAAGTGAATTATAAAAAAATTTCATGGATTTGTAAAATATATGTTTATAACTTTAAATACATTTACTGTAGTTTAATAGTTCTAGATCCAATATTACATGTAAATAATTACGTACTTATCATCGTTTTATTCCAAAAGTCATTTTAGAAAATGAAATTAGATGAATCTTCCCTTTTGGGAAATCACATTATCCACTAATAATTAATGTGACTTTTCAACTATTAATAGTAGGCAATGAAAATCTTGGAACTCAAGTTTAATAAAATTTACAGTCATGTGGTTTACAAAAACAGATAGAGTTACAAGGTTTGTATTGCCAACCGTCGATATAATAAACATGGTTTGTGTTACTTTAATGATATTAATGAGTTCTTAGCTGCAAGGTTTAAGCTTTGGTCCTGTTTAAAGTGCCCTTCAAACATTTCATATATGCCAAAAAATAATTTCTATTCAAAGTAGAGCGGTAAGTGAAAGTTGTGTGATGTGCGCGCACCCGATTTTTAAGAACTGCATATTTGTCAACCTTTTAGATATTTAAGAATTGTGAAAAAAACAAATGTATTTTTAAATTTTTTTTGTTCAAATTTTAAAGAAAATATTATGTGTACAGATAAAATTTAAAAACACATCTATTATTCATAAGTATTTTACCACAACACTAATTATAGTGCAAAAGATTGTATGTAACAATTTTACATTCTTATTCTGTTTGTGTTAAAGATGACCCCCAATGTTTTGAATCCAACAATAAAGGAATTTTCAGCCATAAATACAAGAAATGATTCCAATATTTAATCTACAAATACTGAAAACCCGAATAAATAACAAAATACTGAATAAACAACCTTGACTGTTTTAAAAATACGCATATATTTTTAAAAAATCTATGAACTCTACTTTATTTAGCAATATTTCTTCACTTATTTCTTGAACATTATATGACCTAGTCATATAAGGAAGAACGCAGAAGAAGAAGAATAGTTACTGTTTCTAAACAGTAACAATTGTTTATAAACCATAGATAATGATATCAATAAATTGATAAATTTAGTTCTTGTTGTTAATCAAAACTACCTGTAAAACATAAAATCGTTAAATTTGGCACACAAATAGAGATTGACTGGAAAACGGAAATATTATTTGATTGGGTGCACCATGTTGGGAACAAGTTAAAATTTTAATAAATTCAATATATTGTTCAACATTGAAGTATTTTCCTCTCAAGTAGAAAGTGGTAATATTAGGAAAATATTATATTATATCCTCAAAAAGAAGAAACTGATAAAATTAGAATTTTGCATTTAAGTGTGCCATTTGTTAGCAGTAATTATTCAAAACCATTACATATTTTCTCATTAAATATTATATTAATTTTTTTTTTCAATGGCATTATTAAATTAAGTTTATGATTTTGAGGAATATATTTAATAATCAACAAATTGATAAATTTAGTTCTTGTTGTTAATCGAAACTACCTGGAGGACATAAAATTACTAAATTTGGCACCCGAGCAGAGACTGACTAGAAAATGGAAACATTATTTGATTTGATTCACCAAGTTGGGAACAAGAATAAGTTCAATATATTATTCAACATTGAAGTATTTTCCTCCCAAGCAAATAGTGGCAATATTAGGAAAAGATTATATTATATCCTTAATAAGAAGAAACTGATAAAATTAGGATTTTGTATTTTGGTGTACCATGGATAAGAAGTAATTATTCAAAACAATTACTGTATTTTTTATTCCTTACCTGGAAAAATAGACAAGCTTCAGGTTTTTCAGAGGGACTGACAATGACCATTCCAGGACGAAGGGCCACTTCTGATGAATCAAGTGCTAATGATGCACTTTGAGAAGAATGTACTAAGCGACACGGAGCTTTATTGCGATGAACTGACTGTATTTTGACCTGTCTAAAGGTTCCGTCATTATGTGGACCTGTAAATGATTTTGAAACATCAATATACATCTAAATATAAAATATGAGGCTTGGAAAACTGTAATTTAATGTTTATGTCACAAACAATTTATATAAACTCATTTAATTATAACTACAATGGTAATTCAATATTTATTGATGTTTTCTTAACAAAACCTTTCTTAATTAATTTTTTTTTTTAATTTGAATTTGTCAATAATGACAACAATATGCTGAATAAGAAATATTTTAAAATAACTGTTTACCAATTCCATGAGTTCAGCCTTTTTAATCTCAGCTAATAAAAACCAAAAATAAGAGGGTTTGGATTAGAAAAAATATTTTAATTACCAAAAAATAAATGATGAAAGTTAACTTCATTGATTGAAAACTAATTTCAAACATTTTATTGACTAACATAATTATTGATAAAAATTTGAGTTGTCTCTCTGTGGCCGGGAGGATGAGACAGGTTATCATATTATTGTGCTGGTGAGATAGGTTTGCTGGATTAAGATTCCGATTATTTGGCATTGATAGAGAGAAGGATCCCAAGGCAAACGAGTTTATCAATCCAACAAGCTTATTACAGTTCATTGAGACTGCAGAAATTACGCATACAATAGACTTACATGGCTGCAGTGCACTTATGCCACTTTAAAAAAAAAAAAAAACCCAGACCATTCGTAATCGTTTGTGTTAGGAGTTGGTCTAACTTATGCCCTTTTAAGACGACGAGCAGCAACAGTTCATCACCGGCAGCTCTGCAGATTATGGTGTAGCGAGCCCCAAGATGATGATACAAATTGCAATGCTATTATATTTAAAGATGTTGCGTTTCTGTATTTATAATGATCATAGGCACCAAAGAGTCTTCCGAAAATAGTTTTTGCTTTTTTCAATGCAGTCTACTGGTTGGGGTGTGATGGTATGTGACGCTATCTACTCAGGAGGACGGACTCTACTCCACATTGTGAAAGGTAATCTCTTTGCAGTTCGTTATGTTCATGAAATTATATAGGAATACATTCCTCAAATCAGGGCCATAATTGACACAGATTTCCATTTTCTTGAAGACAATACACAACCTCATAGAGAAAAAGTTGTTCATCAACATCTAGAAAATCTGGACATTCACATTTTCAGATCTCAATCCCTTTGAACATGAATGAGCTGTACTGGAGGCAGGCTTTATCACCACCATCTGCAGCTTCTTAACCTTCAGGAACTGAGAACTGTATTAACATGTTTATGGCATGAAATTCCTTGTGAAATAAGTGCCACCATTATAAACAGTATGTCCAATAGATGCAGAGATAGTGCATAACAGAAGACATAACACAAATGATTAAATTTGACAAAATTCTTACAATTCATAATCATAAAAACAATATCACAAAAACTTTTAATTTTTTTTTTATAGACCTTTTATAAAATTGCTCGAGATCAAATGCAATCTTATTTGTATTCATTTTCAATTTATTTCAAAATTAAAATAAAATGAAAGTTCTATGGACAATAAATCGTACATAACTAACATCACTATTCATTTTTGAGCAGTATAATATAATTATGGATTCCAATTTATAATTGAATAAGTTTTAAATAACGCTAAGGGAACAGAGACCTGAATTAAAAGTTATCTCAAAATAAACAAATATGGGAAAGTATGTTTTTAAATATTTAGTAAAATTTTGGAAAATAGATTGAGCCAGGTTTGAAACTAATCACCATAACTATTCAAATTAAATAAAACAAATACTTGTTTAGGCAAGAATTTGTCAATTTTCCTTTCTTAATGTCAATTTTAACAGAGTAATTAATTATTATATTCTTTTCTTAAGTGAACATAAGATTTATAAAACCCATCGATCTAATCAATTTTAAGCTTAATATTAAAATATACTTTTAAAATATTTTTAAATCATGTTGAATTTATATTCATCAGTCAAATCTGTGATGAAATTAACTTCATAAAAAACAAAACAAAAAAAACATAGGATTTTAACACTTCAAGGACAAATTTAAAACTGGTTAGAATGTAGGGATGAAATTTAATACATAACTTAAGCTACTTGGAAGTAGACTGTTGCTAACTGACTTTTCAGCTCTACTCAAAACAAATTCAAAATATTTTTTATAGAAAACAATACAGAATCATTAAAAAATAATAATTAGCCTCCCATAATAAAATGCTTTGAAGAATATTTAAAAATATATTACATAATATTAAAAATATTTTTTGGTTTATTTAAAATCAATAAGTTAATATGACTGGAATAGAAGAATAATGAATTTGTTTTGAATACCAAAGACTTGCAATTCAAAACATCTAGAGTAAGACAATGTTTTATGGCTAAAAAAAAGCCTAAGAGGTGCATTCATTTTCAAGGGGTCAAAATGATATGTTTACGCTAAAGATAGCAAACCTAGTAGGAAGTTGTCATAAACTTAATCTAGTACAACAGAATCTGGATCTTTTAAAGTTCAACTCGCTGAACTAAAAGATGTTCACAAATCTCTTTAAAGGTGAGATGGTATAAGTACACAAGAGATTAAACTACGTATGGTAAACTATGATGCTTAACCACAAGAACTTGAAAAAGTAGATCACTATGGATGTACAATATCTATGGAATGTCTGCATATTAGTTGACTGAATTTGATAAACTGAATTTCCCAAACTTTACACAGAGTGAAGAGGCTTCATTTAGGAAGATGATGGTGGATTTTATTGAATTTAAGGTGGAAATATCGATGGCTCAGTTTAAAACTGAAACAACTCAAAAGTCAAGGTTATGAGATAAACGAGCTCAAACTAAAAAAAAAAATAAATGACATATTGCATAGTGAAACATAAATGTTTACACTTTGAAAACATGTATGAAGGCATTTTCAAAAGTGCAGTTATGTGCCAACGTCTATACAATTACCTAATATAATAAAAATTAAAAATTATAAAACTTAAATTAGTTAATAAAAATTAAATTAGGTAGTTTTATATTATGAAAAAGAGATTACAAGCCATAGGTATCAGAAAAAACCTGAAAACCATTGATTTTTTAATATATTAAGTTTTGTATTGAGCCAACGTTATACGTTGTTAGTTTTTTTTTAAAGGGACAACACCCTTACATCTTCAACTATTTTAAGATACACTGATTTTGTTATGACGAGGATCAAATGCTAAGATTTTAAATAATACTGGAATATAATTGTGAATTTGTATAAATATTTACATACATTTATTACAAAACGTCATTAAGTACATTTCTGTTGGAGGTGAACTAAAAAAAGAGTTTAAAAGAGTGTTACAGTAAGACCACAAAAAATGAAACAAACTCTTTTACATATTAAATATTTTTACAAGCACACAATTTTCTGATTTTACAAAGGGAAAATTTGTAAAAGTTCTTAATAATTTAAGGTTATGATTATGTATAAGATATGATAAGGTTATGACATTATATACATCTATTTTACATAATAAATCACAAGGTGTCTCACCAACAAGAACTTCACTGCCTTCTGTAATAACTCCTTTAGTAAGAAGTCCACCAACCACTGTCCCAACATCAGCTACCCGAAATATTTCATCAATTTGAAATTCACAAGGTTCCTATAAAATAAAATATTATTACAAATTAAATATTAAAAACATCTTTGGATGAAGAGATGGGAAATAATCTAAAAGTTGGTAACCTGATCCAGCCTTTCTTTTTCTTTATTAGATACCCCTGGAGGAAGAACATAGAGAAATCTAATCAAAAGATCGAGACCTTCACCAGTAACATTTGATACACAAAATATTGGAACTACATTCTCTCTTAATTGGTTAGAGTTTGCTGTCATAACATCGTCTTCATTTTTTATCACCATAGGTACCTAGAAAAAAATAAAACATACAATTAATTACTTCTTTCGATATTAAATTTGGAATTATGCTGGATTTACAAAAGACCCTTCCTATACCAGATGTAACACAAACACCTAATCTATTTTTCACCTACTCACCATTCAAACACCTATATTTTTTTCATTTTACAATAGGTGAAAACACGTAGAATAATCAAAGAATACTATCTCCATTTTTCGGGTGCCTACCACATCATGAAAGAAACTAAAGATTCTATTGGATATTAACTGATAACTGATTTTCCTAACAATCTATTAAGACGTTTAACAAGACATAAAAGATTCCCTTAAAATGGAGAGGATTTTGTGATTTCTGTAGTCATGCTTTATTGAAATTAAACAACTTTTTTTAATTTTAACCTTTTTCAAGTATTGACAATTTATATTCAATACATATGATCAAGATCTTATATGTATTATATGATAAAATACAAATACATATCTGAGAATACTTTATATATAATAAAAACACTTTTTTGAGCTCAAATTGTTTCAAAACATTCACAAGATCTTACTGAATCTTCTGAACCATTCAACTTAAAAATTGATTGAGTTTTTCAGTTAAGAAATCGTTACATAACTTCTAATGTAAAGATTAAATATATTTTATATAATGATTCGTATGAGTTGTGAGGATAAATTGTTTCAAAACACTCATGGAATTGCATTAGAAAATATAGACCATTAAACCTAAAAATTGACGCAGCTGTTCGCATAAAAAAACCGTTACATATCTTTTAGTGTAATAATTAAACACATTTTATTCAATAACGTGTCGGTGTTTTTAGTTCAAATTGTTTTAAACACTCACAAAATCTCACCGAATAATTTAAGATATTAAACTGAAAAATTCGTTTTTTTATTGGATGAACCTATACAATCCAAAAAAAAAAAAAATGTGATTGTAACTGAGAATAGTATGCAAGAGAGAAAGAAACTTAACACATTCAATTAACCTGACAAATAGTTGAATTATGAATAACATATTTCATTTCCCTTTAAGGTAAAAGTTTTTTGAAAATGATTTGAATGAAATCAAAAATTATTTCATAAGTTTATTTTTGAAAAAAATTACATAACCTAATTTAGGTCGGCTTTATTTTCCAATCTGACTTTTAAAGGTGCATAGAAAAAAACATAGCTTTCAAATTAGTGCAGCATGAGGCCGCCTCCAGTCAGCCATATTATTGTCTTATTAAAAATGATTTATTTATTGTATTCAGAAAATAATTTGTAAGCTTCGCTATTATTGTTTAAAATAATATTCTAAAATACCTTTCTACACCCTGGTGAAGTTAATAGTTGTTTAACATGGTCGAGTGTAGTTGATTCTGATCCAAGATCTGTCTTTGTGACAACGACAAACATGGGTACTTCTAGAGCACTGGTGATTGCCACATGTTCTCTAGTCATACCTACAACACCAGCTTGTCCACTTACTACTAACATCGCATGATGTGGTCGGTACCCACTGACAGCACACACTGTAAAATTATCAAAATATAAGTTAAAACAACAAAGTACTAGCAGTCAACACAATCTTATAATTGAATATTAAATCTTAATAATTTTAATTTTATTTATAATGATATTAATTATTTACACAAAACCTCGTTTAGGTCGATCAAGATTACTTTTTTTTCTGTTTAACTTTGTAGACAGTTAAATTACTTTTCATATGAAAATCAAGAATGTTCTGGGCAATGTATAGTTATGAGTTATCAAAAAACTAAAGGAAGGTGAGCAAGTTTTCATGAGAACATGTGTAGAATACTTTAAGAAACATATATACATAATTATATTCACCATATATTTTCTACTGCTAATGAGGTTTTGATAATCAATGTATTTCAAAGGAAATTCACTTTAAAAATTCATGGGGATTCATTTAAAAGAAGAGGTATTCTTCTAGAACTTTTCATTTGCATAGGGCAAAGTCATTAGTGCCCAGAAAACAGAAGATTCTGGTCATATATTAAGAATATTAAAATAGGAATATGAACGATGGGGGCTGGATTTTAATGTTGAGAAGACAGAATATATTATCCAGTACTAATGTTATTGGTATGAACTGATCGTTCAGGAGACATTGAAAAGAATTCAGCACTCCAAATACCTTATGTCCATATTATTAGACAGTTCTTATGACATGGAAATAAAAAGAGAGATCACAATACAATGCTGAACTCAATATTATAGAGTAACAATATCATTCTTAAAACCAAAAGAAATATATATACGAGTATAGTGTTCATTATGGCATATGCATCAATGAGAGGATAAGTGAAAACGTAAACTGTAAAGACAATTTTAAGTTGAAACTCTTTGAAACAGGAATGGATTACAAAAAAAAAAAAAATATAAATGCTCAAGTAGTATGATCATTTAAAAAGAATGCCTGAGAGATATTGCCATGGGAGGTATACTTTTGAAAAATGGATGGAAAAAGAAAACAAGTTTGGCTTTGAAAAAGATGGGATGATCAAAACGAATAATCTTCACCTAATTACAATGCTTTTCTTACCTAGTGCTGATTAGAAAATAATTTTAGGCTTTTGTATAATGATTTCAAATACTTCATATTTCTGCCCTACCTTAAAAAATGGCTAATTTTTTCTTGGTTAATAACAAAGATACAGTATTGAAAACAATAACCAAAATGAGGTAATATCTGCATATGAAGTTTCCTTTTCAAAAAATCTGTAATTTTTTTTTTTTTTTTATAATAGCAATTGATTTCTAATTTGTATTATTTACCCTTAGAATAAATTCATTGTTCACAATTTTACCATCATTTTAACAAACACATTCTCCTATTTATAAAAATGTCAAATAATTATATATATATTAATAAAGTTTCTATACCATACGTCTCATTAATCCTTTTTTTTTTTTTTTTAATGTGAAAACAATATTATTACAACTATTTAATGTAAGCAACATAACTAATTATTAGCATTTTTTGTAAATAATAAATAATAAAATGTTTTACGGACAAAAAAACTTATAGCAGTTTTAAAACCAGTAGCTTTTCAATTGACAACATATTATCAAGAAAAATGCTTGGTCAAATTTTAAAACTATTTCAATAATTAACGTTCAAATATTCATTATAATAAATTTACCTGTCGTTCTCAAGTATTTTCTGTGGCCAGCTAAATCAAGGAGAGAAATAAGTTTCGTACAATGCATATCCTCACCATTCACTAAATCACTGGAGTTAATCACTTTACCCTAAATACAAAAAAAAAATACTATTATTATATTTATTTTTTAAAAATTGGATATAATTATTTTAGATCTAATTATTAACTGTGAAAAAAGTAAGTTATTTTTATTCAAAGATGAATGGTTCTAGATTATCTATGAGGTCCAACTTTACGGTTCAATTTAAAAATTAAGTTATATAAACATATTATTCATGCAATATTCGTTCTAATGCCCAATATTCAAAATATAGAGAGGTTGGATTCACATGGAATGAAAAAATAAATAAATAAAAACTTGAGAGAGAAGGAGGGAGGGAAAGAGAAGGATAAACTAGAGTTCAGAAATAAATCTATAGCAAATATTTTAAATACAGGAAAATTAAATAGTTACCTCAGAATCAAACCCAAGAATTTCATGAGAAATCGAGCTAGTTCTTCCAGACTGAACCTCATGAAGATGACGAAACGTATTTAAACGAGCTCTGCCCCTACCATTGTCAAGTTCGCCTTGAGTTAATACACCAACCAAAGTAGACTTACCAGAATCTGCACTTCCCATAACAGCAACTCGAACCTCGATTGTATGCTGATCAGCAGGAATCTGGAACACAAGTCAAATATGGGAGCTTCTAAAATAATCACTGTCACTAGACAATGTATTATGTGCTATTTTGTTGACATTTAAATAGTTCAAATAACCAAGTCCTGTAAAATAGTCTGTGTGTGTCTGTCTAGCTAATATGATCAATCTAGCTCAAAAATGAAACTGAAATTGCCTATCTAAGATTTGCAGTATCTAAGTAACCAATCATACCATTTTATTTGATAATAGGTGCATCTTTCTTCCTATATGCCTTGAGTTATGCTTTAAAATATACCCTAATTTACTATATAAGTATACCCTAAAAAAAAAATAAATAGGATTGGTTCTTAATTCTACATTCTTCCATTTCCTCGAGTTGCTTCCTTTCCCATTCCCTCTGCTTCTTACGGTGCATTTTTTTCTCTTATCTGCTCATAAACTTGTATATCTTTTAAAGTTCTTAGTTTAATTATTATTAATAATATCAAATTTACATTTTTCAAATATGTATATTTACATTATTAAAAAAAATTAATAAATGCGCATATTATAACAGTGAATAAAGACAATGAATGTTTTTCAGAAACCTTGAATTTTTATAAGAAAAATTTTGTTGATTATTTATTTATCCAACTACATTGTGTTGGAGAATACTGTAAGTGCATTGACCAATAAATGATAAAAATTATAATCAATTAACTTTTATGTATTATTATTTATTTAACAAATTATAGTAGTCTATGATTGTATATTTTTCTTTTTTTTTTAATAAAAAAATATGCCTTAAATTCTAAAAAGTTGTCATTTTTTAAATTTTGTATTTCAATGATAAAACTTTTTCTTTGTACTAACATTATCCATGTTTTTTTTTGTTTGTCTTTTTGCCAAATAACCTTTAAATTTGAAATATTGAGGTTCAATCATACATAAAGGAACATATATTTTGATAAATTTATTTTTTTAATTAGTTATTTGACTTGAAACCATGCATATCAAAACATAAAAAATGTAAGGTTTTGACTAAAATTATTAAGCCTAATTTAAATCTATCAAATTCAACAAATAATTTTCCAACATAAAAATAAAGACTCCATGTTCTTGAAGAAAATCAATTACATGAATCGGAATCAATTTATTAAATTAATTCATATAATTAATACTAATACTAAGTTTTAAGAGTAAAATAAATAAAATTTAACCAACAATTTTTTTTTAATTTTGAAAAAATTAATGTTTTAATTTTATAAAAATAATAAAAATTTAAATATGGAATAAAAGATGCTCAGTCACTAAATATATGGATTGAAAGAAATTATAAAGTGATTATTTGTCTTTCTTAAGATCAAGGCAATCATATGTTCACTTGAAATATGCTAATGTTAATACTGTCGTCAAACAGACAAAAACCAAAAAACAAAACTGAAATAGTCTTGGCAAGTCAACAAATACAGCTGCCTTGTGCCATGTATAAATTTACATTTAAATGCATAGTCACAAAGTAAAACCTTCTCATGAATAAAACTCTAATCCTAATCTTAAAAAAAAAAAATAAAATAAATTCAAATGGAAATTTTGAACAATTATAAGCATATATAATTTTTTCTCTTCAATTTTGCAAGGAAAGTGCATACAAATATATTTTTGAGGTGGCAGTGGAATGTTTAGACCAAAATATACTTTAGACCTATTTTAATGAAAAAAAATTTAGATAATTTTCTGCTCAAAATTAAAATTAAAAATATTTTTAATCCAGTTCATCAGAGGGTAAACAAAAAAAAAATTAATGGAGCATTGAGGTACAGTAATAATAATCATTAAATGGAAACATATTGAAAAGAAAAATGACTTCGGTGAATTTCATAAAATAATGTCAATTTGGAGTTGAAATAATAAATTGTCCTTCAAGTACCTAGATAATTCATTCCAGAAAAATAATTGTGAAAAGTGCCTTCTATTTTTATAGAGAACATTCACCTTAGCCACCCTATAAACAACACAGACCTTCAGCTGACATCTTCAGGTCACCCTGAAAATTCTGACACCAAAGATTCAAAAATAACCCTCTTTTCATAAATTTAAACCTGGAATATTGTCAAACCTAATTTGTTTTGCTATTTAAAGATTAAATTAATCTCAGAATAAATGTATAAAGAATTACTTTTCTAACAAGAACTTCTGTTACTTTACGACCACAGCTCACTTCTCTTTCTCTTAATACTGTGGTTGTCGCTCCTAGTTCCGCAGCCATCTGAGACAGGGTTTTTAGACTAGTATCCATTTCATGAGATGGGAGACCTATAGGCAAATACAATTTATCTATGATATAATAAAATTTTATTTATTTATTTTTTAATTATTGATATTCTTTTAACCTGCAAGGAGTCCAGAATCTTCTACTCCTATTTCGTATATAGCTTCTCCTCCTCCCTCCCTTAACCTCCATTTTAACTAGAATAAAAAATAAAAAAATAATTAAGCATAACAAAAATTAATGATAATTGTGAAAAAAAACCAACTAGCAGTATAACACAATTTTATGATAGTATATAAAGGCAGCTGAATATTTATTGTCAGTTATACAAAAATCAAATAAAAATTATCAGATTTAAATTAATATAAATGACATAATTTAATGTCTATTATTTTTCTAAAGATCTTTATTGATTTAATTCAGTAACAGTTCAAATTAGAATCTAAGTACTCAAATATTATAAAATATATTCATTTAAATTCAAAAATAATTTTAGGAATAGTCGGTTGATTAAATAAATGTCAAAAAACTAACAAATATATTCAATATTTTATTTATGTATTGACATATTTTTTTTATTATTTAATAATGACAGGTGTCACATACATAAATTAATATTCATCCATTTGATGCTAAAATAATCTGGCTAGTTATTGTTAAGTTAATAAACAAAACATTTGGCAGCCTTAGCCTTTCAATTTCTTTAACATAAAACTCATTTAAAATCTGATTCTAAAACTTCCATAAACTCAACATTGACATTTACTAAGTACCTTGGCCTTTTGAAAAAAATGTCAGTGAATTTTATTTATTTAAAATTATGTCATAAGTAAAATATGATAGCATTGCTGATAAATATTTATTTAAACAATGAAATAAATATTTTTATTAAAAACTGATCTAAACTTTAATTAACTAATTAAGGGGGAAAAAAAGAAGTTATTTAAAGAATTTTGTTAATTTAACTAAAATTGTCTGCAACATCAATTTTCATTTTTTATAAATACTATGCAATAACTAATAAACAGATAGTATAGCTGTAGGTGTGATATATATATATATATATATATCTTTCTTTCTTTTTTTTTTTTATATGTATAAATACACAATTTGATATACAAATTCACTGAAATTTTAATATAAATTGACTATTACCAAAAACATTAGTATAATTATTTATTATTTATAAGTAAGAGTGACAATTTCCCCTAAGAATCATACAAATTTAATTCAGTGATGCTATACATAATAAAGTAAAATTTAACCATAATAATTTTATTGGCTGGTAAATACCTGAGTAACTAAGTGTTGAAATCTTGTTCGAGATGGATTTAAGAGTTTAAGTTTGTATTCAATGTTTCCAAGTTGAGGTTCTGGAGGGAGTTGGTTATCATTCAAACAATCTTCGGTGGGATCAAAGAAACTAAGTAGCGACTCCATCCTGAAGTAAATATTAAATAATTAAAAAATAAATACTGACAACAAATAGTTCTTTACTCTGTACCAAGTCAGTAAACTATATATTTAGATGAACAAGTTCAAGGTTCACAGTGAAAGTAATATTTCATCACCACAAATGTTAGTCCAGATCAATGTTGAGCAATCTTATTCATTACAATGTTTCAATTAATTTCAGCATTGTTAAAACACATTATAAACATAAAACTGTTATATTTTAGTAAATTTACATAATAATAGTCCCTTTGAAAATTTAAAATAAAAGCTGAGTAGGAACTGTGCTCAGTATAGAAATTATTTAATATTTTCATAAAGATTACTCATTAATATTCATACATTGATAATGAAGTCAGAACCTGTTGAAATAACAAAGTTTCCTACTGACACTATCTATCTCAGCAGAATCATAGGTAATCATTCTGACCTTTTTTTTGCTGATTATAGTAGTATTTACTAACATAAAACATCGTTTCAGGTTTGCAGTAAAGCATAAAAAAGAAATAATAAGCATACAGAAAATGTTTGTAATTATTAATAAAAACAATTCAATCTTAAGATAATATGACATAAATAAATAATATTATATATATTTATAGAAACTTTATTTTTATCATAAATAAAATGTTCAATATATTTGTAGTTTTAAGACACATAAATGTCAAAAAACTAACAAATATATTCAATATTTTATTTATTTATTGACATATTTTTTTTATTATTTAATAATGACAGGTGTCACATACATAAATTAATATTTATCCATTTGATGCTAAAATAATCTGGCTAGTTATTGTTAAGTTAATAAACAAAACATTTGGCAGCCTTAGCCTTTCAATTTCTTTTAGCTGGCAAACATTCAAATTATACTTTGTTTTTATTTTAAATGTACACTTCAGCGGTAAAGAGGGAGTAGAATATGATGATGATGATTTTACTTTAAAGCAATTAAATTACTCATGAAATCAACTTTCTAAAAGAATTACGTTGTTTTGAATACTTAACAGATTAGAAAATTATCTGAATGCTACTTGAAACTTTATTTTTAAATTATTCAAGCTAGTCATTGAACAACACTATACTACATACAACTTCACAATACAGTAAAAATATAAACCTTCCAATTACATTTTAATAATATATTACAACAAATTAGGTGAATAGCTAGTATTTAAATAAAAATAAAAGGAAAAAAACCAGGCCTAGCAGTTGAAATAACCATTGTCATTATTGTTTCAATTATATGGTAAATGAAAGGGGCACAGACAAATACATTAATTTACCATCAATTGATACTTTCTCATAATAATAGTTACGTTAGTAAATAAGTTGTTGTCTTGCCTGAGCTGTAGTGCCAGTCCCTCACTTCGAATTTATGACAAACTGTCAAAATCCAGACAAACCACAATCGCCATGTTTGTAAACTAGCTGGAGTGGAAGGGGTATCAGATGGAGTAGAGGGGGACCTACTGCCAAAACCAACAGTGGCGGTATCTCTAGTTGAGGCCCTCAACTAACTTCCAGTAACTTAAACAGAAGTCTCTTCCTCGTGTCTGTCGGAACTCAGTTATTTATTTTTTATAAATTAAGTTTAGCAAATGCGAAAGTTATTTCAAATAACTTTTAACAGTAAGCGTGATTAGAATTTTATCGTTGTAATTATAATAAATTTCTCTCTTAATTTGCATTATCTTTGCAGATTTTTTATGTTCAAAAGTTTTTTACACAAGAATGGGTGAATGTGTAGGAGAAATGGCAGAAAGTACGATAAATCCATTAAAAAGGATATCTGAATCCTGTATGAATGCTGTTGAAGAAAAGCGACCATTGATTGAAACACCAAGAGTCAAGAAAAGGAAGTGCGCAGTGCTGATTTGTTATTCTGGCCAAGGATATTTGGGCCTTCAAAGGAATCCTGGTATGAAAACTATTGAAGAAGACTTGTTTGTTTCCATGTTGAAGGCTGGAGTAATAACTAATGAAGCTTTTGATCAGCCAAAAATTATTGAATTTCAGAGAGCAGCAAGAACTGACAAGGGTGTTTCTGCAGTAAAGCAAGTTCTGTCAGTTAAATTACGTAAGCATCGTTATATGTATTATAGAAACAAATTGTTTGTTGATTTATAGTTTATTTTCTCATATCTTGCCTTTTAGCTTTAGAAGTATGTCTCAAAACCGTCAACAGCTACTTGCCTGAACAAATAAGGATGGTTGCTATTAAAAGGGCTACTAAAGGTTTTAACTGTAAAGGAAATTGTGATGCTAGAACTTATTCTTACATGATGCCAACATTTGCTCTATCACCTCAAAATGAACCTTTGTCAGAAGATTACAGAATTCCTTCATCTGTGATAGATCTTACCAATAAGGTTTTAGAAACATTCCTGGGTACTCATAATTACCACAATTTCACATCGAGAAAGTAAGTTTATTTCACCATTGAAATTCTTGCACAGAAATTATGGTTATACATAATAATCATACCATTTTACAAGTGTTACTCCTCTGACAATAGATCTCATGATCACACGGATGATAAATAGAATTATAAGAATGCCAGAGTGTGTCCTAAAGTAGATGGAAGTGACAAAAATGTCAGGTAAGGCCGCGCCCCTAATTAAAAAGGACCTGTTGGGTTTTTTTTTTTTTTTTGCAGAAGTCAAAAGTAGCTTTGCAATTAAATATAATTAAGAGCCTGATATCTGAAAAGGATCAAGCAAGAGTTTGTGAGAGTCATAAATTATGATCTAAATTAAAGGTGGTTATACCGTCAAATTGTTGATACTCTGCTGTTGTCCCACCCTTCGATATGGAGTAACTCTTGTAAAGTTGAACCAAAATAATGTATCTAACATTTTGGCACTTGAAATAATTTTGTTTTATTTGATTTTAGGAAGCCATTGGATCCAAGTGCGAAAAGATATGTCATTTCATTTTCTTGTGGGGATCCTTTCATTATTGAAAATATGGAATTTGTTATATTAAAAGTGAAAGGTAAATCACATTACTGCTTGTTTTTAATTTGTCAGGTTCAATATCTGAGCCACTTATTCTTTTAGCATTGTTCTAATCATTACTTAAAAAATTAAAATTTTTCTGATGCTTCTACAACATGGCAACTGGACCAAGATTATACCAATCACACATTATACTAAATTCTGAAAATGGCTAGATATTGACGATCACTTTAATTGTATAATCTTACTTATCACAATGTAATGTTAACTAGGATTATTATTAGTTCACCAAAATTACCATTGATTTTTAAAATTATTACAGCTATGATGGAAATATGGAGATATAGTTGTCCATGAGTCAAAAGTGGTTAGAGGTGCTATCAAAGACAAAAGTATACACACAAAAAAAATTATTGTCTTTTTATTGACATTTAGGCCTCAGTTTTAAGTCTTCATTAGGACCGCTCATCTGAAATTTTCAGAATAAGTGCTACTAAAGGCACTCCTACTATTACTGATTTAATTTGATTGCGACATTCAATGTCCACTCTCTTACTAACTGCATAGTGTTAAGCTGAATTAAGAACTAGAACCTCTTCCATTATCCTTTATCCATGGCTATAATATGCCTCGTCTGACTTTAAGCTGTTGGAGGTCTTCTTCCATGTCATTCAACGATTGTTTGTGAGGCTTATGGATAACCATAAAGCATTTGTCTAGGTAACCTCGATGAAGACATCCTTTCCATATGTACAAGCCAAACCAATCTTCTTTTCTTAATAGTTCGGAACTCTTTCTTATCCTATATCCATCTTCCACTCGCAATGACCCAAATATCTTTCTCAGTGCCCTTCTTTCCTATATTATTAGCCTGTTCTCACTAGCCAAAATTTTCACCCAGGTATATTTCTGTGGGCCTAATTATAGTTTTATAAATCAGCAGATTAGTGCTTCTGGAGAGGTTTTTGTATCTTAAAGCCTTACATATGGCATAAAGACACTTGTTGCTCGGAGCTATTCATGTCTTTATGTCCTCTATTGTCTCATTAGTTCTCGTGACTGTCCCTCCAAGGTCCTTGAAGGACCTGCATGCTGGAAAATGGTGCTCACCTATCTTAACTTCTTTCTTAAATAGATTCCTTCTCATTAATAACTAGGTCAATTTCCATAGCTGCCGTTGTGAACTCTTCTAATGCTTCTGCTAATGCCAGCAGCAATTTTGCTGTGATTACTACATCATTGGCATATGCCATATGTGGGGTTAATCTGTTGTAAATGTTTTCTCTTGGCTTATTCCAAGGCTAGATTAAAAAGTACCAAGGAAAGAGAACCTCCTTCACGTAGGCCACATTCCACTTTCAATGCCCTAGGTCATGTGCGAATAGACTTTAACTCTGGATTTCGTGTTGGTAAGAGTCATTTTTATCAGACTTCTAAGTTTTTTGGACATACACATCTAGCTCAGTGTCAATAGCACTTGCTTCTTGTTAATACTACAGTATAAATGCTTGAAATCTATAAATAAGTGGTCAAGCATTGCATTATACTCAAATGACTTCCAACATTTACCAACGTGATAAAAAGTTGTTAGTTGTGGATCTTCCTTGTCTGAAATCACTTCGGTACTCCCCAATTATTCTTTCAGCTCACTAAAAAGAGATAAATAGATTTCTAAGGAATCCATTTCAGTTGAGGACAAGACCTTACCAAGGGGATCGTTGTCTTCCATGTACTTCAGGACATCTTTGGTCACTTTCGAAATAACCAAGTTCCACAAAATGGTCTGTATGTATTTGAAAGGTCTAGCTCAAAAACGAAAAGTATGAAAGTGAAATTGCATTTTAAGGTTTGTATATACCTGAGATGTTACGGCAACTTTTTCTTCAAAATCGGCTTACTGGAAGTGGCACTTCTTTCATCGATGAAACACATTTTACTATTTTCCCAAAACGGCTGCAATGATTTTGATTGAATTCATATATCAGTGTAAAATTGAGCAGTTTTTATTATTGTGTAAGTTTTATTCTCATTGATGTTCTCTGACAGGACTTAAATGGCTAATTTTCAATATTAGCTTCATCAAGTACCTTTAATATTTTTTATTTGAAACAATTAACCATTTCACATTGATCTCTAATATAAAAAATAGTTCAATATGGAAGAATATAATAAATAATTAAAGGAGAAATAAGAGATCATAAAAGAGAATAGTTGTAATGAAGGAACCAAAGGGATACGAGGGCAGCCGAGCTCACCCGAAGATTAGAACAGGCTTCCACAGTAACATTAACTTAATATAATACGGACTCTGACAATATTATGTACATATACATATGCGGTTTCCATTGATATTATTTAATATTTAATTATATAGATTACAGTGATATGAATATTAAAATTTGTATATATAAGGGTACTTAAACAAATAAAAATATCCACAATGAAATATAAATCAATGAAGCGTTTATAATTTTTACTTTCACTTCTCCTTTGTCTGATAATACTTATTCCTGCTTAGGAGAGGGTAGTAAGTGAAAGTTGTGTGATGTGTGCTCCACACCAGATTTTTTATTTATTGATCAGTTGATTCTTTTACATGAAATGAAGTCATAGTTGTTAGTTTTTATTTGTTATTATGTTCACTTTGCAACTTAAAACTTTCTTTTGTCTATCGCAATTTAGTTTATATTGTTTTTAGGCCAAAGTTTCATGTTGCACCAAATAAGGAAAATGGTTGGGTTGACAATTGCTATTGTTCGAGGTCTAACATCTATAGAAACCTTAACAAGAGCATATGGAGAAGAGAGACTGGATATCCCTATTGCACCTGGAATAGGCTTGGTACTTGAAGAGGTTTGTGTAACTCAGTGGTTTGATTAATTCATCAATATTTCACTAGTAGTACCATCCCCAAAACTGAATGAATTATTATAATACTATCTTTTGAGTTAAATAATCTGTGACATCCAATATCAGTCCAGTGGAACTACTTATGTTTTGATATATTATATTTTTCTTTTTAAAAGCAACTGTTTTATGATTCTTTAGTTTCATTACTAACTAAAGGTAAGGTGTGAGATAGTAATGGTGTTTTTATATGGATGTAATATACATCTGTTTCAAAGCAGCTTTGAAAGTTTATTTCTAACTTTTTTTATAGGTTCATTATGATAGATACAACCAAAGGTTTGGAAAGGATGGTATTCATGAACCTATTGAGTGGTCAGATGTTGAGGAGGAGCTTGAAGAATTTAAAAAACAATACATCTCGCCAACAATAGTAAAGGCAGAAAAAGAAGACAAATCGTATCCTTTAATAAAATTGTTGCAATGCAATAATATAATTGATGCAGCCTTACTTAATTTTAACTTTAACTTTAAATTTATTTTTGGAGATCTCCTTTTTTTCATACATACATTTGTATATAGTCACAGACTTTTTTTTTTTTTTTTTTTCGGTTTGTGCTATAAAACCATGTAAATTTTTGGCTACACAATGTGGTCTTCTTACAGACGTCCGTTACGGGACACAGATAACCTAGAACGGGTTGGCTAACCTCACATTACCATGGTGTAGCAGCAGGGCACCCATAGCCATAAAAAGTATTATTTATATTTTTATGTAAAATGTCTTAATAATGAAATATAAATGTTTTACTCCGTGTGATTCATTGTTAAACTCTTTAAAATTTGAATAGTATGATGATAATCATATGATCTATATATTAAATATTTTATTAAAAAATTGTTGAATAGCAACATGCCATGTTAAGCAGTTGCCGGCTGCCATAATGATACTTGGTACAGGTTTTTTCAAGCAGGCACAGAGTAATTGTAAGAGCTTGAGAAACCAGCCTTACTATATAGGTCATATGAGCTTATTTATTTTATAGCCCTATGATAAGAGACATTAAAAAAAAATGGGTATTTATTAATGCCGCATTTTAAATGTTAGTCAAACAAATTTAATTCATTATAGTGTGAAGTATGCCATATTTGTATGAAATAAATTTAATAAGTTTAATACATAATGAGTAAAATACTAATAATAATGTAATGTTTGCAATAATATATAAGAAAATTATAAAACAATAAAAGTATATTTTATACTTTTATATTGATAATTTTTGAAAATGGCCACCAAACATTAAGTGAATTAAAAACTGTTGGTAATATGAAGGTCTTGTTGATCCTTCCTACAACATTTTGCAATGATAATGTCTACTGGAGTTTAAAGTAAGGAAACTTAGTATTCATTGTCATTATAACACATTTTATTATTTATTGCCACATATATATCAATTAGCTTTTTATGTTACTGATTATATTTTTCATGTGATTATTATATCATTTTCAAGCTGAGCTTATTTAGCCAAAAGCCAACATTTTTCTCTTCATTTTCTATTTATTATTTGTTTTGCTCCAAATGGTTTCACCAGTAATTGATTTCTATAATTTACATTTTATATATCTTATACCTATGCATATTATTTCTTTAACTCTTTCCCTTCAGCATGTTGGTTTGGCTTAACTCTCTACCTCTTCATAGTTTTGATGTTCGAATTGGGGACAGAATTCAAGTGAATACAGATGACTCGAACATAAATAATGAACCAATTAAAGAGAATAATGAGGACACTAGTGATATTAAAGAAAAATTGCATTTGCCCTTGACTGAAGGCTTGAATGGGACTCTTACTAATGAAACCTTAAAAAATAGTTAAATCAACTATCTCTTAAAGAATAGTTAAATGAACTATTTATTAACTTATATTTTATTGTTGTTTATTTAATTTATACATATATTTGTAAAATATATTTTTATCATTTTACATTGTGTTATTCAGTGCCTTCATTTCGATCTATGAAATTAATTTATTTACCTAAGTCAGTATGATTTTCTTTTTGATTTAGTTATTTAGGGTGTACATAGTAAGAGCCTCTGATAATATGTGAATTTCAGTAGTTTGGCTCATACTATTTTTATCTGATATACTGTTTTATTTTTCTATATTCTAAACCAAGGGTCTCCAAACTTATTGGTCCGCGTGCCACATTGAGGCCTCCACTACGTCCTGCGGGCCGCATTGAGACCGCTACCTAATTCCCGCAGCCCATGGTTTGTGATGAAAACAAATCTTGGTATGTGTATATATAAGAAGCTTTCATTTCTTTTGGATATTTTGGAGGTGCTAGTGGGCCGTTGTTTGGAGACACCCCTGCTCTAAACAAACCTTCTAGATCTTAGGCTGTCTAAGCAAGTTTTCTGAAATGAGTTCCACAGCATCTTTGTTGATTCAATCTATTCGTCTGATTTTTATCTTTTCCAGTGTACTGTAAAATTTATTTTAGATAACAAATGATTTGTTCGGTTTTTCAACGAAAACATAATAAATGGTTTATTTATTTATTACCTTAACAAATAATCTGAAGTTATCTGTTATCATAATTGAATTATAAATTTCTTTTAGGAAGCCTGGCTAAAAGAAATGGGAGTGGGAATTTTTAGACTTTTCATGAACTTTTCCTTTTTTTATCTAATTAATAGGGGATCAATTTTTCATGTTTTGAAATATTTTCTAACCGTTAAGAGGTTGTCTAAAAGGAAATACAATGTAAAAATATTTAAACAATATTCTGACTTTTCGTGTTTTATCTCTTACATGGATCAGTTTTTCAGGATAGAAACTGTTTAGAAAATTCAAGTTTTCATTCTGTTTTCCTTTTGTATATCGTGATTAAGAAGGGAAAACATTTTCACACGTTTTCTTTTTAGGCTAAATATTTGGAAAATAGTTTGAACTAATACTAAACATGTGTTAAAGGTTTTTGTTTTTTTTAATGAGAAAGTGAGATCCTATTTGCCAGGGAAGATAGCAGTTATTAGGTCATCAATTTCAACCAAATTATTTTAGTTTATGAGCATAGGCACTCACTTCGGAAGAGAGGGGACGATCGCCCACCCTCCAATAATTTAAAGTAAATCAAAATGTAAAAAAAAAAAAAATAAATAAAAGTTGTTTAGGAGGCCTAGAAGTAGATATGTAAGTATTTTACCAAAATCTAAATATTTCTCTTATTTAAATTTGTATATATATGTATATCCAGAAATAATATTATATAAGAACATATCTTAGGATTTTATAATAAATTCATCCCTCATGTACTCTCCTATTATTTTCATCTGATATTATTACACTTTCCGCACCCTAGTTGAATGGCATCAACGGGATTTCATCTTACTGCTTCAATAAGCTTAATATAATTTCACAGTAAGGATACTGCAACTGAAAGGAGAGTTTTGTCTCTGTAATTGTGGAGCTCATCATAATATCACAAATTAGCTATAGAACTTGGCCCTTAGATATTCTACCCTATCTTTAAACAACTCTGAAGGTAGGCTATCCATCCCTGTGAACTTCTTTTATGCCTGTAAATATTTCCACATCCAGAATATTAACTATGGGTCAAGTTTATGTGATATCAGTATCAGAGTAGTCTGTCTTTTATACTTTCCTTGATTGAGATGTTGCTGGAAATATTCTTCACAGATGCTTAGTATTTTACCTTTTGATGCTTTGATGTTTTTTTTTTTTTTTTTTTTTTTTTTTGTTTTTTTTTTTCTTCCCTACCTCCCCATTTAGGCTATACGGGATTTCCCCAGGACGGAGGGTGAGAGCAGGAAATTTAAAATCCCTCTAGCACCGGGACGCGAATTCGTACTTATTTTTGTCTCTCAAAACTTCATATATCTGGTTGCTGGGCAACTCGCGGTGCTGTGCACACGCTTTAGCCCATTCGGTCACCCCGCCCCACTGCTGTCAGTTAACCATATTTCCCACTCTTTCGCGTAGTTCTCGCTTTATATTATACCTTTTTTCTTGTTTTAGGCGTAGAATTCGCACATATTTCCAGCCTGCCAACTATCTTCAATGGCTTACAGTATTTTTTGCCGAAATTAATTTCTTAATCTTTTTCTAGTGGTTGTTATTTACCCAGAGTAGCTTGATCAGTCCTATCTACCCGGAGCACTTAATGTCCTCCTAAAATAAATAGTTAAATATAAACTGGACATAGCTGTCATCCAGGAGGTTAGATGGACTGGAAAAGGGATCTTAAAGAAACACCACAGAGTCTACTACAACTGCGATGAAAGGGCCATATGTTTGGGACCGGATTCAATATCAGGAGCTCTTTACAAAGTCTAGTTATAGGATACGAGTCGTATCAAACGACCCAAGTACTAAGGATAGATATAACTTCAGCGCACCTCTGGTCTGCCTCCGCTAGTGTCTGAGTGAAATGGGGCACCCTTATCGGGACTATATATATATATATATATTGGCAAGTGGTTGCAGGGATTTAAATATATAATAAATTTACAAAACAATTATTTTTTGGATCAAACATAAGACGGTAACTAGATAGACACAAAATAATTACATAAGGGGCTTTCAAAAGGTGCCCCCACAATTATGCGGTGATAAAAAACACAAAATTTGAAGAAATAAACGAATACAAAACAGTTATTTTGGGGGTCAATCATACAATGGTACTAGATAAGTAAAAATAACGATATTGGGGACCCTCCCTCTATGGCGATACAAAAGTATAAAACATTTATGTTGCGTCTCCACCTGAGGGGCCAAAAATATATGAGGTAGTAAACGAATTCAAAACAATTATATTTGTGGGCAAACATACAACGGTACTAGAAAAATACAAAATAACGATATTCAAGACCCTTGGGGGATGCCCCCAATCATTCTACTACGATATATAAGTACAAAACAATTATGTTGGGGCCCCTGCAAATTGGTCACTAAATAAGAAATAAACGAATACAAAACAGTTATTTTTGTTGCTAAAAATACAACGGTACTGGATAAATACAAAACAATGCTCACTTCCACATTAGTGCCCTCAGAAGAAGAGGACAAGCGCCAGGAAGACATCCAGATTCTGAAAGCTAGGCCGAAACAAGAAGAAGAAAAACAGAAGAAATGCACATCATGTTAACTAGTAGTAGTGTGTTATAAAGCATTCATGCCTAATAACACACTATTGCAAACACCCATATTGCCATAGTGGTCTGGAAGGGTGTAATATATAAATAAATAATACAAAACAATGATCATCCGGCTTTCAAAGGGGAACCCCCAATCATTCTACAGCTATAAACACGTATAATACATTTATGTTGAGGACCTCAAAAATTTGCTGAAATAACCGAGTAAAAAACAATTATTTTTGGGGCTCAAGAAAAATACACAACAATTATTTTTTGAAAACTTTAAAAATCCAAAACAATTTTTTTTGGGGGCCTAACATATGGTTTCTTTGGTAGATAAGTATAGAATAACGATATTCGGAATCCTCACATGGAGTCCCCAATCATTTTACGAAGATAAAAAAGAACAAAACATTTCTATTGGAGGGCCCATCGAAGAAATCCTAAAAATATTCAGACATAAACGAATACAAAACAATTATTTTTAGAACCAAACATACCATGGTACTAGATAAATCCAAAATAACAATAATCGGAGCCCTAAGAGGAACCTCAAATCATTTCACGGTGATAAACAAGTAAATATATATATATATATATATATATATATATATATATATATATTGGGAACCCATCGGAGATATATATATAAATATACTTGTAGAGAAATAAACTTGCATGAATCAATGGAAGAGGCATTGCACAGCCATTTACGGAGGAGGCCAGATCGAGTTGCTAAATGAGTTTGGATCTATCCGACCTCTAATGGAACCACCCAATGAAGAGGACCCTTGAAAAATGAAATAATCATAAGGCACCAGGATTGATGATATATCAGCTGAACTTCTGAAGTATGGAGGTGTTGGTCTTGAAAAGGCTTTTCACAATTTCATCTTAGATAATTGGGTGAACGAGGTGATTCTAGTTGGGTGCAAGAAATCCATAATTCACCCAATCAACAAGAAAGGAGACCCTATTAATTGTTTCATTTCACTTCTAAACTGCGCGTATAAGGTCCTGTCTAAAGTTTTGTTTAAACGATTACTCCCGTTCGCCAAGAGAGAAATAGGCTCTGTCTAGATTCCGTGGAGGCAAATCTACAACGGATCAAATAACACATGAGAACAATAGTAAAGATGAATACGGAATTTCATATCACGAAGCACCACCTCTTCCTAGATTTTAAAGCAGCACACGACAACATTAATTGGGAAGTGCTCTGCGATGTACACAGAGAATTCCAGATTCCTCAGAAGCTGCTAAGGATTCTCTACAGTGAGCAAAAAATAGTATCCATTGTGAAGCGAACCAGATTAAAGGTCAAGTGACGAGGATGAGTAACGAGCAGGTACTGAAGAAACCGCTTTTCGGGGTCATTTACGGACTAAGAAGGATTGGGAGGCCAAGGATTTATTTTCTTGATTCATTCATCAATTCGCTAGATTGACTATATGATAGGAGACGCAAGAAGCCTTGGAGTCCGCAACTCGATGGCAGCGGCATTAGACAGGCTCCTGTTCTTGATCAGTTTTGGCTTGACAGGCAATCATTTTTCTTCTTTCTTCCACGACTTTTTCTGTGAAACATTTATGGCTTTTCGTTTTTTCTGAATACATATTACTTTCTCAATTTTTTTTTTTTTTTTTTTGTCCGCAGAGTCTGTCGACCAAAGGGAGTTTACCTTGCCACCTCCCTTGTCTGGGTGGTGGTGAGATCTCATTAAACAGTGGGTTTGCACAGGCCTTCAGCCCATCAAAATATTTGATGTGCCTCCGGCCTATGAACTCAGGTACCGAGGGGAGCTGGAGCTCCTCGCGAATTGTTTGATTCTTAGCCCTTTGTAGAGTGGTGCCACGGACAATTCGCCGAAGGATAGAATTCTGGAAGCCCTGGAGACTCGTAAGCGTGGATTTATACAGGTATCGCAGGAGAGGATTTTGTAGGATGGTGTCATATTTTTGTTTATCATCTGTATCCATAGTTCCCGTCAACAAACTTAGGGCTGATCCTAAACCATTCATTATACCAAGTTTTTCTCTTTTTACATGTTTACGCATAAAAAGGTTAGTGATTTGATTTGTTATTCTCTCATACCTCTCATCTCATATTTGATGAAGCATTTTAAATTCTTTGTCTGTTTTCAAACTATTAATCTGTGTTTGTAGTGTGGCGATTTCATCATTTAGTTGAGATAAATTCTTATAATATAGGAAAGTGTACCATCACATACGACATACATCACATATACATATACATCACATACAACTGGATTTTCATTGTAGTTGTCTCTACCGATTCCAAATGTCATTTCGATCGGACTTAATTTTAAATCTTGATGCATTGAATTGTTATAGGCGATTATTGCTAGTTCTACCTTTTCTTAAATTTTCTGACGCGGTGGATTGAGTGTTTATTATTTTGATTCAATCTATCAACGCGGAGCTTGCTCTATTAAGTAATCCTAACGAATTTGGTTGGTTAGGTGTTGTCTCACGTTTTTGCTTTCAAGATATTTTAAAAAGTCTCTGAATAAATTGTTGTCGTATTCAAGACCATTATCTGTTGTAATTACAATGGCGTCAGTTGTTAAGTAGAAGTCTTCTTTAAAGTTGGGTACTTGAATTATGGGACTACTACAGACTAAAGTTTTTAGATGATCAAATGCTTCACGATAGGAATCAGGGTTTATTTCCCTTTCTTCCTTATGCAGCTATCTCGCCATGGGTGAGGCTATTTTTGCGTAGTACGGGAACATTTTTCGATAAAATCCTGTTAAGCTGGGAAAGCTTTTTATTTCTATTTCTGTCTTGGTTAACTTAAATTCTTTGACTGCCTTTATTTTATTCGGCTTAGGTTCTATCCCATTTTCACTTACTATATACCCCAAAAACAATAATTCTCTCTTACAAAATTCTGGTTTGTTTAGTTATATTTTGAGATTATGTTTTTTTCAGTTTTTCTAGAACCGATTTTAGATACTTTAAGAGGTCGATGAAAGTTTCTTAAAATATAATAATGTCATCCATATATACCAATACATGTGGCATATCCGAAAATATAATATTCATCCCACTTTGGAATGTTGCAGGGACGTTGCATAGTCCAAATGGCATTCTTAAGTATGGTGTCGAAATGCCCTTGGTCAGTGCTGAATGCAGTTTACGAACTGAATTCTTATTAACTTTAATTGGGTGAAAACCAGAGCAAAGATCCACGGCTGTGAAAATAGTGGATTTTCCGAGCAAGTCCCCAATATTCGGCAGAGAGTATCGGTCTGGGACCGTTTCTCTGTTGAGCTTTCTATGATCGATCACCATTCTTATTTTCTTCTGCCTTGATGCATCGCCTTTTTTGGAAACTAGCCAAACGGGTGAGTTATAGGGAGAGTTACTGAGTGTAATTATTTTGTTTTCTAGCATTTTACTTATTTCTCGTCTTATTTGTTCCCTAAATTGTTGTGGGTATCTATAATTTCTGGAATAAATTGGTTCGTCCGTTTTGGTTTTTATTTGGTGTTCCAGTAGTTCCGTCGTTGATTGTTTCTGTTCCCTTTTCCTCTCCTGCGGCAGTTAAAATAATGAAATTTTCATTTTGTCTTTTGATTCCTGCAGGTACTATTTTTGGATTGATATATATATATATATATATATATATATATATATATATATATATATATATATATATATATATATTTGTGCTCCTGTGTCTAGTAGCCATTTATGGTCCTTTTTGTCGATTATATACGGGAGTTTATGAAGTTATTTGCCTGGAGTTCATGAATTTTTATGCTTTGTAATTCGGATCTGGATCGTCCTCTTATCTTCTTTTTGATTTGCGGTGAACCTCCCTAATTGTTCACGAAGTTCCCTTATTTCTTTATCTCTCGCGTCTTCTTCTTCTACTTGATATAATTTATATATTGGATATACTTTATGTAGTTATGCTTTATATAATGGATGTCTTGGGTTGTTTTTCTGAAAACCGCTTACGGCATTGAGACAGAATTTGAAGATGCACCTTTCTCTGCGGATTTATTGTTATTTTAATGTTGTCCCAACTCTTGAAAATACATGTACATCACAGGCAGATCTACGGGTGGAGGGAGGGCTTTCGGGCTGAAGCCCTCCCAAAATGGTAAAATATAACCATATTTTACACAAAAAAATGTTAAAAACTATCTCTTAAAGTATTCTTGTTCGTTTAATTACATTTAAGAGGACTTCAGGAACCACTTAAACACCAGTTCATATAGGTAGTTAATTTATTTCTTCTTTTTTTTTCAAATTATTTTTATGAAGATGTATGAAAAAAAAATCTTTCGGGCTGAAGCCCAACCCAAAAAAAATTAAATCCTTGATCCGCTAGTGATGTACATGTATCTAAATACATAAATACACGTATTTTCAAATCTTGACCTCAGATCTTCGGGTTTCCATTGGTCTCTGTGGGATTGATAATTTCTCCTTTCGTGGTGATAATTTTGATTACTGTTGTGATAATCTCTCCTAGGGGAATGTCTACGCTCGTCGTTTCATGATCGGAAGAAATTTAGTTGGTGTATTTAGGTGTAGTTTTTGTGATGTATTTTTTTATCAAAACCTCTTCTGTTTTCTTCCTGAATTTCTCCGGGCTTCCTCATATTGGCAGAATTGATCAGATCTTTAAATAGAAGGTGATTTTCGTTTTCGTTTATGAGATTCCGTAAATAATCTAGTGTTTTTAGTCCGGCTTTAGTCATCAAATATGTTCTAACATGCAGAGGAATATTTATGAAAAAGTGATTTAGTATATTTTTCTCTAACGCGAACACTATAGTTGTTCTTTCTGGCGGATTTTGCATTCGGTATTTGAATATAATCAGTGTTCGACTTCTGTCTGATTGTTGAAGAAAGTCTAGAGGATGTTCTTTATGACGGATTCTTAAGTTAAAAGGTTCAAACGTTAGTTGTTTGAAAAAACGAAAATCTCTAAATGTATTTTCCAAGTATTGTTAAAGTTCATTGACCCCAGTAATTTCATACGTCGTATTAATGTAGTCACAATTTCCTGTTAGTCTAGCTAGGATTTTACTGAGTAAGCATTGGTCATGTAGTGCGAAGTTTGCAGACTATAATGTAAACCTTTAGCCAACGATAATAAATTTAACCAAATTATGTGGATCCCCATTGAATGCTGGGTTCCGCGTTCCATAATCCGCGGATTTAATTGCAAAAGTGGTTGCCATTTTGTCTAAATTATTACAATCGTTATTGCGAATAACTCTAATTTTTTCAAATCTTTCAGATAACTTATTGCATTGGTATTGATGATTGATCTGGTATTGCAGAGTTCGTGTATAGAACCACGATGAAATATGCATGCAGTCTCTATTTGGGCGCCAATTAAGAAACTCATCCGTCGAAAAGTGAAAAAAAAAAACAACTTTATAGAGAAATCAAATCATACGATCAACATTAAGACATGCTAAGTACAACTGCTACAGATCTGACAAGCCTATAATTTTATGGGGGTATATATGGGTAGAGGAGAGCGAGGTTACTCAGAATGTCAAGTCAGCATAGTTTGTTTCCATAAGTGTGAGGAAGAAAAATAAACTTAACCCAGTAAGAGAATCAATTGCAGTTTGAGATAATAAAGAATTGAAGCACTTAATCACCCAACATAATATCTAACATTTCTTGTGAATTGATGTTTTTCGCAACATCGAATTTTCTTCGGATCATTTCTTACGTTATTGAATGAATCATAAGCAAAATTGTATCTTGAAAAAGTAATGTTGGTATTAATTTATATTAAGTGGCTCCTTATTGAAGGTTAAGTATAACTTTGTACTTAAAAGTTTTCATTTTGCTAGTGGTACCAACGAGTGACTCAATTATAAACCTAAGTCAATAGCTTTATTTAAGCCTTGTAGTAAAAAAAAAAACAAAAAAATATTTAATGAAGTCAGTTCACTGACCGCTAATTAAATGAAGGAACATAGGTCAATGTTACAATGTTTCATTTACCATTAGAAATCAGAAACATGTTAAATACATATTATAAACCATAATAAAAACATTGTTTAGAACTAGCTTATATACATTGGAAAGTTGAAAGTTGAAGACGTCACCTAGATCACTTCAACCTCAAGATGAAAGAAGTCCATGTACTAATCTGACATTATTGACATAAATACTCTTTGTATTGTCGTTCATTAAAATTAAAATTACTAGTATAAATGATTAAAATATTCTTTATAAATTTACACAGATTAACATTTGTAAAACCAGTGAAAAGCATTGGTTGATAGCGTGTAATGTTCAGCGGAGAAAATTGTATTAGGGATTTGAAGTAATTATCAAATTTGTACCACTCTTTTTTATGGGAAAAATAGTTGTGCTCATTACAATAAGAATAAACAAATCTTTAAACAATTCATGAGTTTAAATGATTTATGATTCACAACATAAGTATTTCTTATGATTCATGGATCCGAAAGTTGTGATTTGATACAGAACTAATGAGAAAACAAATGTACCAAAAGTCTATTGTAGTTAAAGAATTATTCAGCAGAATCAAATTTAATTCAACATTACGGAATGTTTAAATGTGATACTGCCGGTATAGTACATATTTAGTAGGTTTCTCTTGATTAGATCGAAAAGAACCGTAGCTCAAATAAATTTATTAAAAATGAACATGTTATATTTAAATAAAACGTACCTTTTTTAAATTAGTATGAAGGTTTTTTCTTTTGTTTTCAAGAATTAAGTTGATTATTGCTACCAACTTGATCTGACCTCGTGTTCAAGCGTTGATGTCGATTTCGGTGGCAGTGTACTCTTGTACTCCTCCATTTAGTTCGGAGGTGGGGTATAGTTAATTTAGGTGTACCCTAAAGTTATTTAATTCTGACTGTCCGTAACACAAAATCATGGTAAGAAGTTAATTAACAATCATGTTGCAAATCAGTGAAAATTAATTTTTATTTTAATGTCGAAAAGATTATGAAGTGAGATTTTGGAATTCTAACCTAATCGTAAGCATCCACGTGTGTCAATTTTTGTAAAATTTGTTAATTATGTATCTGTTGTCGACAGTCTATTGACTTATTTGTTCCGTGAAAAATTTAGTATTAGGATTAATAGTAAGTTAAATTGTTTTGTAGTTTCATTCCATTTAATCTTAACATATCGCTTTCAGATTCCCCCGTCTTCTCGGCCACAGGTCACTGTATACAGTGACAAAAATGAACCAACTGGTGAATTATTGACTCTCCCTGCAGTCTTTAATGCTCCAATTAGACCAGATGTAGTAAATTTTGTTCATCAAAATATTGCTAAAAATCATAGACAACCCTATGCTGTCAGTGCTGAAGCAGGTACATTGATATTTATTTAATTTTTGAATGATTACTTTGTCTATTTTGTTATTAAAAAAATGTCATTCATCTTTGGGATTTAGTATTGTTGCTGAATATATTCATGTTATCTAATTAAGTGATGGTAGTATTGTAACCTGGTTTACTAGTCTTTCAACCAGGTTTTGTGTTTATTTTTTTGAATGAGTCATTTTTCAACTGCTTAATCTTTAACTAATTTAGTTTTTACAATTAAATTATATGATAATTATTATATATTATATTTCTACTGTCTTAACTTGCTTCTATTCTCTGCTTAATTAATGGTTTTGATACTCATTATACTTACGTCTAGCTTATAATATTAAGATTAGTATCCCATTAATAGTGATGTAGTACTATTTCAAATACTTCACCAACTGTTTAAATGCTCTATTCGGGACACATGGCTCATACTATCTTATGTTCTTTTCTTATTATTCAAGAATTGTGTTCTATTATTTGGGTACGAATATTGTTACACCTCAGCATAGCTATTACTGATATCAAAATTTTATACTAATTTAACAAATAGTAGTTTTAACTAGTATAGCATTAGATCTAGTTTTAGGTAATCCATGATTAGGAATAACTTACTGCATTCTAAGTATTTAATTTGGATTTATTTCTTTACAATTTATCGTTTATAGCAATGGATATTTTTGGACCTGTTATTCTCAAAGCCTTAGCAATATATATTTATTGGATATAGGGACCACTTTTTTATAGATTAGTTTTAATGATACATTTTTATGACCCAATAAACTATAATGGATCAATTTTAGTGGTTATTTCCAGAAATCATAGATAGACCTTAAAAAAACACTCCTAATTGTTCGAAGAAGGTATCTTTTAATTAAAACCCATGTTTTGAATTAAGGATTTCAATATAGGCACCAAGAACAGCAACTCCTCAATTTCTATTTCTCTAAATGTACAGTTTTCGAGATTAACCGTAATTCTTGCCGAAAGCTATGGGATACTTATCACATTTCTAGACTTTGAAAGTAAATTATTGCCAATTATGATTATAGCCTTCTATTTAAATTTATTGAAAAGATCAATGGAGGAGATGAGCTCAATGGTCCCTTGGGCACATCAGGTAATATAAATAACTGATAGATATTTTTAATAATATAAATAACCAGGTATGGCTTCCATATATTCAGTAATTGATTCTTATATTCTTAATAAATAAGTGAACTATAACTAGGCTCTTCTGCCTCAAACAATCAGGTCTTGAGAAAGTACAATAGTTTAGATTAGTAAAGTATAAAGAATGCTATGCTTTATTGCTGAACTGTTGAACTGATATTTTCCAGTGAGACAAGCTATTCATTTATTAAGTAAATTGTTATTACTATCTTGATAATGTTATAAGCTTCATATCCTAAGTTATACTCCTACTTTTTGAATGATGTCCTTTACTGAATCTTGATGAACTTAGGAGTAATATTATGATGTATTTCTAAGCACTTAACACATATATTAAGTATAGATTAATGTTTTGTTATCTAGGTCATCAGACTTCTGCTGAATCATGGGGAACTGGACGAGCTGTGGCTCGTATACCTCGTGTAAGGGGTGGTGGTACCCATCGTTCTGGTCAGGGTGCCTTCGGTAACATGTGTAGAGGTGGACGCATGTTTGCACCAACTAGGGTATGGCGCAGATGGCATCGTAAGGTGAATGTTAATCAAAAGAGGTATGCAATGGTTTCTGCTATAGCTGCCACTGGAGTGCCAGCACTCGTGATGTCTAAAGGTGAGTTTATTATTTTAAACATAATATATTTAGGCCATCATTTTTTCTGTTAAAATAAGTGTTATAAATTTCTGTTAAAGTGATATATTTAAAAATAATGATTGGATTCTTAATTTGTTTCATTGCTGCAGGACACATGGTGAATGAAGTTCCTGAAATTCCTCTTGTAGTGACTGATAAGATTCAGGAGTATACTAAAACCAAGCAGGCAACAATCTTCTTACATCGCATCAAGGCTTGGACAGATATTCAGAAGGTAATGAATGATTTGCAGTGTCGTATTGAGACGAATAATGATTGAATTTGGCTGATATGAATTTAATATTTTTTTGGTAATGCTCAAGAATATCAGTTGTACTGATTACATCTATCTCTTGCAATTAACATGGGTTTTATTATTATGCTAGTACTCGCACAGATCAGTTGTTTAAAAATAATTAAGTAATTTAATTAAGGTAAAATAAATAATAAAATGAAACAATGTTTTTATTCTGACAGGAGTGCCAGTGATAAAGAAGGTTATATTTATAATATTTACTTATATTTCATTGTGATTATTGTTTTTGTTTAAACACTGCTTTATATATATAAAGTTATTGTTGATATAGTCCTAATCTATATATTTAATATTTTAATAATACTAACACTGTCATTTATGATAACCGTTCATATATTTGGATATGATATTATCAGAACCCGTTATATTTGGGAGCATATATTAACCTTTCACTAAGCTGAAGCCTATGTTAGTGTGTTGTTGACAATCATATGTCCCACATTACCAATATTTTCTCCTTTATTTATGAAAACAGATTTTTTGATTAAACGAAAAGGAAGACCTTTTGAAAAATTGCCATTGAAGCCCAGTTTGAAAAAATAAGAAAGTGTGAAGTCAGTTATATCAGGTAGCACCTTCGTAGGTTGAATTACAGCAATTGGATCAGTTGCATTTGAATCGAATGTTGTTATTCGTACATTATATTATCATGTGTTATTCTTTTATAATATAAACATCTGTTAACAGATAAAATTATATATGATCAAGTACACCATCATTTATTTAATAAAATACAATATTACATCATCCAATAGTGTCCAAATACAAACTGAAAGAAAGGGCACAAAGGAGGAAGGTTATAATCAAATAGCTGATAAGCTTAAAGAAACAGATGAAAACAAAGAAACATATACTCACCAACATAAATACATAAATAAGCCTTAAAAATACAGATAAAAAGGGGGAAAAATAATAAATAAAAGAGAAATGAAAATAGATAGCAGAGGAAGGTTTTCATCGAAAACAGATGATTGCTCTGACAAAGTTAAAAGATCAAATAATTTAGATTTATTAGACTTATACAGGATGTTCTACGTTTCATTATAAAACTTATTTAAATTCCACCATTAATTCTCTGCAATATACACAACCTCAATCATATAAAAGGTTTAGAGATACAAGTTTGCCTGTTTTGATTTTTCCCATTTATAATCTCATGTCTGATTTCTGTCTGTTGTTAAATTATATCATATAAAATATGATCGGTTAACAGGTGTTTATATAATAGAAGAGTAACAACATTGATTAAAATGTAACTGATGATACTTTTCTATAACAGCTACAAAAATGTAACTGGTGGGGTTAATGTGCAAAAGACCCCAGCAATTTGTTGGAATATTACTTAAAAAATTGCTTTGTCGTTTAGGTGCAAAAGACCTTAAAATCAATATTTCTATTGATATATAACTTTAATTCAAAACTTTTCACAATTACAATACTTTCCCTTGCTCCTGTTAGGCTGGAAATAGTTCCAGTCTCTCATAAAAATGTATTCAACTCTTTATAGGATAGTGGGTCACTTAAAAATGGGGAGAGGTGAAGTTGTAGTGTTATTATAGACATTAAATTTTTTAATTCTGATACAATCTGTTAAAAAAAATTTATACTTTTTCTGCTAAAAAAATAAGATATTTTTATTTATTTTTTAACATTATTTGGTTTGGATTTAGGTTAAATATGTCATCAAATAAACATTTTTTTCATTCGTATAATGGGACGAGTAGTTTTCATCTCACTCCTTTTAACATACCTTTTTTTAAAAACAAGTGACTGTATTTTTCCTTCTTAATATAAGTCCCTAAAATTGTTTCTTTATTTTTTTTTTTTTAAATTTGCGTAGTAGTTCTATCCCATAATGTTTAAAAGTCATCAAATAACAAAGCAATCAGTAAATCTTGTTGATTTTTTAGTAAGGCTGTTGTCCCAGCAGATTCGGAAACTGATTTTCTAGAGTATTATCTTTTTTATAATATGAATTTATTCTTTAATGTTATACTACTACAATATATTATTTATAATTAGGTATACAAGTCTAAAAGGTTCCGTGCTGGTAAAGGTAAGATGCGTAATAGGAGGCGCATTCAGCGTAGAGGACCTCTCATTATCTACGGCCAGGATCAAGTAAGTTTTTTATCTTTCCCTTTAACATTTTCATTCATTTGTGTATATATATATATATATATATATATATATATATATATATATATATATATATATATATATATATATTTGAAAGTTGACATTAATTTATATTGATATTAATCCAAAGATGATTTATACTGTTATGTCTTATTAATACATAGAATAAAAAATAAAACAGTAAACTTTATAGTCCGTGGTACTATTGGTAGATCTCTTTTTATCAAATTATGAACATCCATCTAAAACTTCGTGAATGACTTCATCTTATTATAAGGTACTACTTTTTTATTTATCAAAAATTCTCAGAAATGGGGCATTTTCAATCTGGAATCAGTATACTTTGTCGATTTAATGAGATACTAATATCTTATGAATACTCATTTGAATTGCACTACTTAAATATTAAGATAACAGAAGGTACAAAAATGATTTGATGAACCATCAAAAATTAGCGCAGTTTGATTGTGCAATCTCGAGCCATGAGAACAAAGATTCGCTTATCGTTTCGGAAACAAAAAAATTGAACACAACCAAGCATTGGAGGCAACACAACTTCTACTAAACTATTTTGAACAGGAGAAAGCCGATTATAGTAGAATTATCTTGCTACGGATAATGTACGACAAGAACTGATATTAAAAAAGAAATGTTTAAAAAAAAATGGGATTAAAATTACAGATTTTTTCTCTAATTGAAAATTCAATACATTTGTAAAAACATTCATACATTCATTCTTATGTATTTTTGTATATTATAATTTAATGTATATAAAACGTTTGTTAATAAAAGTGGTTTTCTGCCCATTTTTTTTTTTTTTTTTAAATTAACTATCTGTTACATTGAATCAATAAAATCTAATTCGATAATCTGTGAACCCCATACCCACCATTCGTTACCTCCCCCCCCCCTCCCTCCCCCTCCTTTCTCTCTGGATAAAAGGGTTTTACTGTATATCTAGTTCACAAGCTTTGTCCTTGCACTGCCGAGGGCAGCGATGATTTCAATTATTGCATTCATTTGGAAAAGTAAATTTTGATAATTATAATGAGTATGAATAATTTGTTTTAAGGCCATATATCATTCTGGTAAACATTAATGAAAATATATAAGTCAAGGTAGTGAATTTTACTTTGAAAAAAAAGTTTTTCCTGATATTAGAAAGTTTCAATTTGTTGTTTGAATACTAATAAGTTGCAGCAAATGTAAATTAAATTCATTGTAGAATAAATTTGTCCTAGATTTTGGGCTCCTAAACTTTACATATAAAGTATAAAAAATTTGGAAAACTATACTTAAAAGAATCTGTTGTCTATATTTAAGAAAATTTAATTTTTTCTCTTAAAAAATCTCTATTTTTGATAATTTTAGTATTGTAATGTATGAATATTTTAATATCTGAACATACCAACTTCTGCATTTTTTTCTGAAATGCTGTGTGCGTTTTGTTCTCTGATGTTAGTTTTATGCCATTATTTCAAGATATAGAATTATCTTTTAAAATATCAAAATGTATGAGATGCTTCTAGGATCCTCCCATTGTGAGGAATTTTATTAATTATTAGTTCATAGAAGTGCTTTTAAATATATTTTAAATTAATTTCAGGGCCTAACTCGTGCTTTCCGTAACATTCCTGGTGTTGATCTTATCAACGTTTCACGATTAAACTTACTTAAACTGGCACCTGGTGGTCACGTGGGTAGGTTTGTAATCTGGACCCAATCAGCTTTTGATCAACTTAATGCTCTCTATGGCACATGGAAGAAAAAATCAACTTTGAAAAAGGACTACAACTTGCCAATGCCCAAGATGGTGAATACTGATCTGTCCCGACTTTTTAAGTCTGAAGAAATCAAGAGTGTCCTCAAACCTCCAAGGTGATTCGTTGTTCAGTATTTATGATATGCATATTTAATATTACAATCACCTGTTACCATTATCATATAAAACTGTATTCCTTTCTCCATCATAATTTATTTCCTCACTGCACTTTCTTCAAACTGAACCTTACATTCTATTCGAATTATTTTAAGTTTAATATTTTTAAACCTTGTCTATAACTTTAAAAATGGTAACTAAGATCATTATATATCCATTAAATATCCCAGAAAAATAGAACAAGTGTTAGCCAGAAAAATCTTGTATATACTGGACAAAAAGTTATTGGTCCATTGGGAATGTCTAATTTCATATCTGCGTTAATTCTAATAACTATAAATTGCAGAGTACTTTTAAAAAAACCATTAACAACAAAAAAGCCAAAACAATTTTTTTATTCTGGCAACTTTTATAAATAGTAGTTAACATACAATACAAGACTTTGTTTTCTTATACTTTAATATAAATTAGTCCCTCATTTAAGTATCCTAGAAATATTAGCATAATGAAATTGTACTTAATATCTATTTTTACCAAACTTCATTTATTTTTTCTTGTCTTAAAAGGTATGACCTGAAGTTTCTCTTCTTTTTTTTTTTAATATTTAAAGTTTCATGATCCTATTGTACTTCAGAATGAAATTTTGATCCTAATACTATTTAGAGATATTTTAAAATCATACGAAAACTTTATTTGACATCACTGACGAGTTTCTTGTGTTATAGGAAGACCATAGTCAGGAGGGTAAGGAAACTGAACCCATTGAGGAATACACGAGCAATGCTGAAGCTCAACCCATTTGCTGCTGTTCTGAAGAGGAAAGCTATTTTGGCTGACAGGAAACTTAAGCTTGAGAGGGCTATTGAGAGATCAAAGAAGGAAGGAGTAAGTTATTTCTTTTTTAACAGGATATATTTTAGTTGCTTTAAAATAAGAACTAGGATTTCAGATAAAGATAATTAAGTGATAACTTGACTTTAGATTGCAATATCAGTGCATGTATTTATTTGTGCTCAGAATTTAAAATTTCCTCTCTTATTTTGTGGTATTGACATCAAGGAAGAGATTTGGTTCTTGTTTGTAGTCTTAACCACGTTTTTTTTTTACCCCTTTCTCTCCTTTTTAGTTAGGGTATATGTGGTTTTTCTTGGGCCAAGGAAGGAGGTGAAGGAATTAAGCCTGAGTTGAAATTTCCCGTGGCACTAGTGTTTAAACTTGTTATCTTCTAGTTGCGAGGCAAAAACTCATATTTTACACATACGCCCATTCACCCACCCTGCCTTTAGTCATATCCATAGTGTAAACATAATACCCATCTACAATCAATTCTATTAGTCTAATTTCTATGGAAATATCAAAAATTGTGAGAGTTAATACCTAGATGGATTGTCCCCATATTGATTTCCATCCACTGCTTTCACATAAGCTCATAAAAATTTATTTTTTGTGACGCGAATATTTTAAGAATGACTAATTTGATTTGGCCAAAAGTTATGAATTAATTTTTTAGCGATAATGAGGGAAAGGAAGAAGTGGGCGGCCTTGAAGACGGCATTAGCTGATTGCTCTCCGTTCCTCTGTGATGAAATACTTTTCATTACCTCTACTCACCACTCCAGCCTTATTATTTAGGGCATTACTCTAAACTTTTTTATTTATTTTTTTATACAATTTAAATGTCGTAATTTTACAATATGACCTTCTATACAATTTATTGAATCTAAAACTAAAAAAAAAAACTTATGTATGTTATATTAGCCCGATATAACCTTCGCCTGGGCCATATATGACGTCATTAAAATGTTAATAAAAAATATGATGTATCAATTTTATTGAATTTCATTCTCTATTTTTTATATTTGATCCTAAGTTTAAGGAAATTTAGGAAAGTTGGCCGACAAATAGTCTATTATTAATTTCTAAGTAACTTTTATAACTAGTGTACCTATTTTGTTATAAAAGAATAAATAAATTACCCATAAACTTATTAAAAACATGGAATTTAATGTACGTTTTACAATCATAGTGGAGTTAAGCATTTAATAAATAGAAATTTATCCGACAAGTAAACAATGTAAAAATGAAAATGGGTGAATGAAGAACAGTTCTGAGAATTGAATTCAAATCCCAAAATGTTAAGCAGTGATAAATGGTATTAAACATTTAGGATCCTTATAGTTTCTGATATTTAGTATTTTTATTAAATCTATATCTATATTTGATATTATATGTATTTGATTCTTATCAGTACTTCTCTGTTTTTCAGGTTGAGCTTACCCCTCATCAAAAGAGGTATGTTGCTATGCTTGAGAGAAGGAAAGCTCAGATCAAAGCCGCCAAGGCTGCTAAGCCTAAAAAGGTTAAGAAGCCTAAGGCTGAAAAAGCCGCTGCTGATGAAGCAAAGAAAGCTGCTGTAACTAAAAAACCAGCAAAAAAGGCTGCTGCTCCCAAACCTCCCAAAAAATGATTTAATGTTAATAAAGTTGGTTGAGTTTGGTTTTTAAACTTTTATTTTTTTAATTTTCCCATGATATGTTGACTACTTAACAAATGAAATCTTAGCTTGCTTTTTTTCTCTAACATTTCATTTGGACTTAATATATTATCTTCATGATATCTGATTAAATTATGGATGATAGTACATTAGGTTTTTACAAAAACAAAAATATTAAATTTTAAAACGTTTTATTAAGGTTCGTATCTATCTCTTAATACAAATTTTATATACTTCAGGGAATAACAGGCCTTCATACTTAATTGATGTGCAGGATAATGTGATATGTATATATATAACAATGGAAAACTTCTGAAACACAATAACCTTCCACTGAGAGACCTCATGAGTTTCTTTCGGATGGCATGTGGCTAAATCCAAAAAGACTCAGACTTTAAATTTGTTAAAAAGACTTGAATTTGTTTAAAATACTATTTTGAGACACCCTAAAAGATGTTAGCTTTCAAAAGTGCATTTAGAATCTTTTTATTTAATTTTTAATTGCCACAGAACACCTGGGTATGAAAAATTTGAGCGGCGACCCTGTTAATACTTGCTGCCTTGAGTATTTAGATATTTCTGAAAAGCAAAAAACTGAACATGATCATAAACATTAAATAATATTAAACATAAGTATTCAAACTTGTGAATTATATTATTTCTAAAAACAGGATACTGACTGGGATTCGAATTATATATTTCTTTGTATATAAAAATTTGTCAATTATGTTGATTCTGTTTTTATTTTTAATAGATTAGTTTTCCATATCTTTGAACAACTTTTTTGTCTCTTGCATCCAATCTTCTACTGTGGTACAGTTTATTGGAGTTATGATTGGTACTTCCTCCTTTCTTGCTAAATTAGTTCTCTTGCTTTTTTGCTAATTCGTTGCCTAAGATACCACTATGAGATGGAGCCCAGACAAATTTTTTCAATTCCCACCTTAGATTTAATATATCTCCTATTAGGGAATTGCTTGGCCATGGGTTACCAATTGCTGCCAGGATGGTTTTAGAGTCTGATACTATAATCCATTTATTGTCATTGGAATTAGGTATCCAATGGAGAGCATTCACGATCACAGTAGCTTCTCCAGGTAAGCGAAACAGGAGCTGGTACTGGTTGTCATTAATATATACAGTGCAGCCAACACTATTTTCCATTTTAACAACAGTACTTTCCTTAAATAGTACTGAACCCAAGACCCTTCGTGGTACAGTTATATGTGACATTAAAATCTTTGTACTTCTCTAGCAATTAGTAAAATAGTTTTGTATTTTTAGTGGGTACTCTTTGATATATCTTTTCATGGATGTCTATAGCCGGTCTACTTTTCTTCCAGTAAGGGATTTTAAGATTATGTCATTGTGTTCAAATCCATGTTCACATTATATAGTGTTTTGTAAATCATCTGTTTAAATTTGCTTCCCTCCATCTTAAGTCCTCGCATTTCAGATTCCTCATCAAATTTATGTACCTTAGGAGTATTGTGGACATGCTTTCAATTTTGATAAATATTTTAGTTTCATTTCTAATGAGCAGCATCGACATATATACTTTGACTGGACAAGTTCAGAAAGGTCCGTGGCAGATTCTAAGAGCTGGATTGTGGATGGAATCTAGTATTTTTAGCAATATTTTGTGAACTGTTTCACATATTTGGGCTCCATATTCAATTTTACCTCTAATTGCACTATAATATATTTTTATGAGGATTGTTCTATTGGCTCCTCAGCTTGAATAAGCAATACATTTAAGAAGTCCAAGCCTTTTTGTGCACTCCTCTCTTAAATGTTTTATATGGTTACCTCATTCTTCTTATTAAATATGTATATTTTTCGCTATACTCAATTGAGCCTCCTAATATTATTTGAAGGTTTATACGACATTTTTGGATTTCGTGGCTGATAGCTTGAACCTAGTTTTCTTAGTCAAATTTTCTATTTTTTCTGTAGCATCTTGCAGCTTCCACTGGATGAACGCTGAAGATTTGCTATGAGATGAGATTACTATATCATCAGTGAATACTAAACATTTAATGGGAATTAGAATAGTAGATGTGATTCTATTTATTGCCATGAGGCACAGTGTCGCGCTGTGGGTGAATCTTATGGAGGAGGATTTCCAAGGAATGATTAAAGGAAAAAGTGTTTCTTACTCTACACAAAATTTTCTGTGTCAAAAAAATGTTGATATACGTCCACATATTTACAAAATTCTTGATACATGTCCTCTTGCCATTCCACGATAAGCCTTCTCTAGGTCTAAGAATATTGCAATTAAATATTCTTAGTGTAAAACAGAAGTGCACTTCCTTGAAAAACTTTGCTAAACCTTCATCAATATCTCCAGGGTTAGTTATAATTTTTCCATTGACTTCTAGTCCAACAATTCTCTTTCGCTTCCCGATTCCTCTGATGATTTAAATCTTACACCATATTTCGGTCACAACAGTATTTAACAATGAATAAACTTTCCAAGATTCTTTTTTGTTATATTGGCTCTTCAGTTTAATTCTGTATATTTTTACATCTATATTAACTACCAATAGATTTTATTTTTTTTATTTATAATTTTATTGAAATTTACAACTGTATTACATTAAATATACAACAGATAAATGTGACATTGGTAACATGACATGTAAAATATGAAGAGAAACTACCCATTGGTAGAACTCAAATACCAATAGATTAAAATTGTTATTAAAAAGTTATAACATAAGTAATTTGTCTATTACACATAATTATGAAAGTCCCTGAAGCAGGGGGTTTGCCAAAGTCCGGGTTCTTGTGGGTAGTTAGGAAAAAATGTGGCTGTCCTTTTCTCCAAACTAGGGACGGTTCTGTATAGACGACATTTTTTCCCAGGTGGAAGTGTCCCTGGCAGATGGATGGGAGTGACAAGGACTGGGGTAGAAGAGATAGCACCCTAACCTATGAGGCTTTCTAATGTGGAATCTTGGAATTCCAGCAAATTCATATTGCTCCCTGATTGTTTTTTGTGTTACAAATAACTATTATTCATCATAATATGAATAATGTGGATACCTAATATTTTATACCATCCAAAGGGTTTTTTGTTGAAAGGATAATATGACATCACTTCTATCAATGCTGCCCATAATCTTATTTGGAAATGGCTTCTGGCTTTACCACCGACTTTCCTCTACTATGAATCTCCTTCATATCAGGACCATCCTTCATATCAATTCAGACGATTATGTCACTTTTGTCATGCCATTTCAAGATGCAAACGCGTTTTGGAATAAACGGCCGTTAGATAGCTAATTATTTAAATATAATATCTTATCTACAGTTATTAAACTACAGTAAATGTATTTGAGGTTACGAAAATATTCATGAAATATTTTTTGATTCGGTGGATTTTAAATACTTTTTTGTTTAAACTTAGAAGAACATTTAAAAGTTTCAAATAATATAAGTTTAAAATTTCATGTAATTTTAGAAAACATGTGATTTACGTTAAATAATGATAGTTTTCTAAAATTCTCCACTTTTCAATGATATATTACAGGTATAGCTTCTGACTTATTTCTGGAGATTTTCAACCTAGATAAGCATTTTTCTTTTTTTCTGCAGTTTCCAATTATCATATTATTTCAAACTTCATAATTAACCATTTTTTATTGTTACTGTCAATAAAAGTGAATTATTTTTTTTAAATAAACCGTATTAAAGGAAGATGTATTTGACCATTGTCCATTTAAGCCCTGTAAAGTGACATCAAAGGGGATAAGACCTAAATGATATTAAAGACCACTTAATTATACAATGATACACCGAGTTTTATCAAAATCGGAAACCCATATTTTCTTGTGCTCGAATAAAAGGTTGTTTGAAAGAATAAATGAAGTTCATATTTTTAAAAATAAATTTTCCTCCATTGTGTATTTCACCTGTGAGATTTATTTCAGTTCGGAGTCAATAGGAGCTAATTGTGACAGGATCACAAGCCTTCGCATCTCACAGCGGCCCCAAAACTACATCATTCTTTTCTTTGAATAGCTGCTTTTTGCAACTTTTTCGAATTTTTTTTCCCACCATCCAGGGAGAGGGTCGCCTCCTTGCAGAATTTGATAACATTTTTTTTTTTTATATTATATTAGAAATGGATTTTTCCTATATTCCTCTTTTCATTAAACAGATGTTTAAAATATTAGTTTTCGGAGAGTATTTGGCCCAGTTAGGGAGAATGGTGAATGGAGAATTAGACGCAACCAAGAACTAGCTAACTTATAAAAGGAGCTTTGTGGTGAAATATATCCGGATATCAAGGCTGAGATCGAAGGGCCAAGTTGTCCCTCGTCGGATGGATAAGATCTCAATCCCAAAGAAGCTGCTGTGTATGGAGCCGGTTGCAAAAACAGAAGTGGACAGACCGAAACTGAGATGGAAAATGGTTAAGTACTGATGCCAGTATCCATGGAATCAGGAACTGGTGGAGGCTGCCCAGGAGAGGAAACATGTAGGAAAACTCTTAAGGCAGCCAAGATCCAGTGATGGATTTTCGAACTCAGGATGATGATATTAATCACATTATAAAATCCCTCTTAGAGGATAGTTTTCCCTATATTTCTCCTTTTTTTAAATGGCTGTTTTTTGGATACTTTTTTTTTAAATTATTTTTCTATCATCCAGAGGGAAACTGGATGGGAACTGCCCTGGCAGAAATTACTTGTGCTGGTCGCGATAATAACTTTTTTTATATATATATTACATTAGAAATTCGTCTATGAGTATGAATTTTTCCTATATTTCTCTTTTCTTTTAATAGTAGCTTTTTGGAACTTTTCCCCAATGATCCAGGGGAGAGAGGGGCGCTCCCTGGCTGGATTCGCTAGTACTGGTCATGATATTTTTTTATAGCACAGAAAATTCGTCTCACAGGATGATTTTTTTCTATATTTCCCTTTTCTTTAAATAGGTGTTGTTTTTTTTCCACCAAACAAGGAAAGGCTGAATTCGTTAGTGCTGGTCACAATTATAATTTATTTATTTTTTATTACATTAGGAAATTCGTAAATGATAATGAATTTTCCCTATATTTCTCTTTTCTTTAAATAGGTGTTTGTTACTTTTTTCCAACATCTAAGGGAGGACGGCGCGGCGCGCGCCCCCTAGCAGAATTCGCTAGTGCTGGTCACAATAGAATTTTTTTTTGTATTACATTAGGAAATTCGTGTATGAGAATGAATTTTCTCTGCATTTCTCTTTTCTTTAAATAGGTGTTTTTGTCATTTTTTCGGAATTTTTCCCCATCAATGGAAGAGCACGCCCCCTGGCAGAATTCGCTAGTGCTCTTCACGATAATAATTTTTTTTTATATTACATTAGGATATTCATCGTCTATGAGGATGAATTTTCTCTATATTCCCCTTTTCTTTAAATAGCTGCTTTTGGATTTTTTTTCCAGCTCCCAGGGAGAGAGTGGGGGAGGCGTGCGCTCCCTGGCTGGATCAGCTAGTGATGTTAGATTCTTTCATGGGTATAACATTTAAGAGAATATTTCTTTTTATTAATGGAATCTCAGAATTTTTAACGCCTTCATGAGGAATAAATAAAGGAAAACTCCTCATGGGTTTTATTATTTATTTCCACTTCTAATACGTTTACGGGAATCCGGTTTATTGTATTTTGTGTAGTTTACGTGGCCTAAATTCTTGCTTATTTTTTGTGGGCACTAGCGGATCCAGGATTTAATTTTTTTTGAAGGGGGGAGGGGGAGCTTCAGCCTTAAAGCTTTTTGTTTTCATAACAATAATTAATCTGAAAAAAAAAAAAAGAAACTAACTACCTTAGTTTATATATGATATAAACTAAGGTGTTTAAGTGGTTCTTGAAGTCCTATTAAATGTAATTACACGAACAATAATACTTTAAGAGATAGTTTTTAATATTTTTTTCTAGATAGTTTTTAATATTTTTTAATATTTTTTTTCCCGAAAGCCCTCACCGTAGATCCGTCAGTGTATAGGTGGAGTCATGTTTCAGCACGGGCGGATCTACGGGGGGGGGGGGGCTTTCGGGCTGAAGCCCCCCCCAAAATGGTAAAATATAACCATGTTTTATCGTATAAAATATTTAAAAAATATCTCTTAAAGTATTATTATTCGTGTAATTACATTTAAAAAGGCTTTAGGAATAACTTAAACACCATTTCATACAGGTAGTTAGTTTCTTTCTTTTTTTCCAAAGTAATTATCGTTATTTTTATGAAAAAAAAAGATTTCGGGCTGAAGCCCCCTCCAAAAATAAATCCTGGATCCGCTAGTGTGTTTCAGTTATCACCTTTTTTGTGATTTTCGAAATAAAATCGAAGGCTCCTGGCCTAATAAAAATTTGAGAATATTTCTGAGGAGGCAGTACGGAAACGGTATTGAATAGGCGTCTCTAAACCGGAGGGAACAAAAATAATTTTTAAAATATTTTTCTAGTTCCCTAAAAATAATTGTTTTGTATTCGGTTATTTCCGCAAATGTTTGGGGTCCTTCAATGGTCACCAACATAAATGTTCTCTGCTTTTCTAGGACTGTAGACTGATTGGAAGATCCCCTCTGAGAGGCCGAGGATCATTGTTTTTTATCTAGTACCATTATATGTTTAGCTATAAAAATAATTGTTTTGTTTTCGTTTATTTCTGCATTTAGGGCTCCAATATATAAATATTTTTTACCGTCGTAGAATGATTGAAGGGCTTCTGAAGGTCTCGTTATTTTGTATTTTTCTAGTACTGTTGTATGTTTGTCCCCAAAAATAATGGTTTCGTATTTTTCTAGTATCCAAAAAATAATTGTTTTCTATTTTTCTAATACCCCATAAATAATTATTTTGTATTTTTCTAGTACCCCAAAATAATAGTATTGTTTTAGTTTATTTCCGCAAATTTTTGGGGCCCCAAAATAAATGTTTTGTACTTTCATATTGGCGTAGAATGATTGGGAGAGGCCCCTAAAGAGCGGCAAATATTTGTGTCTATCTAATATATTGCTATGTTTGGGCCGTAATTGTATTAATTTATTTTCCGAAAATTTTTGGGTTTCCATCTATGGCCCTCAACATAAATGTTTTGTACTTTTTTAACGCTATAGAAATGATTAGGGTACCTCTCTGAGGGATCCGAAGAACTTTGTATGCATTTATCTAGTGCCTTGGTTTGACCCAAAAATAATTGTTTTGTATTAGTTTTCTGCAAATTTTTGAGCCCCTCCGATGGGACTCCAACATAAATGTCATGTACTTTTTTATCTTCGTAAAATGATAGGGAGAGGCATCTTTGGAGAGCCACAAACAATTGTATTAATTTATTTTCCGAAAATTTTTGGGTTTCCATCTATGGCCCTCAACATAAATGTTTTGTACTTTTTTAACGCTATAGAAATGATTGGGGTACCTCTCTGAGGGATCCGAAGAACTTTGTATGCATTTATCTAGTGCCTTGGTTTGACCCAAAAATAATTGTTTTGTATTAGTTTTCTGCAAATTTTTGGGGCCCCTCCGATGGGACTCCAACATAAATGTCATGTACTTTTTTATCTTCGTAAAATGATAGGGAGAGGCATCTTTGGAGAGCCACAAACATCGTTATTTTGTATTTTTCTAGCACTATCGTATGTTTGGCCCTAAAAATAGTTTTGTATTAGTTTATTTTCCGCAAATTTTTGGGTCACCATCTATGACCCTCAATATAAATGTTTTGTAATTTTGTATCACCATAGAACGATTGGGAGTTCCTCCTGAGGACCCAAAGATGATTATTTCGTATTTATCTAGTATCATGGAATGTTTGGCCCCCAAAATAATTGTTTTGTAAATTTATTACATATTTAAAAACATGAAAACCATTGTTTTATATATATATATAAAACAGCGTTATCCCTAAAAGCATTATTATTATTAACTTTTTTAGAGGTTTTCAAGTAACTTAAACATTCTTTGATAGCATCTTTCAGTTTCTTCCATAGTAATTTCTGTTATGTATTAACAAAAAAAATCAAGTCCCCTCAAATTAAATCCTGAATCCAATTTGTGGATGGCACCCAATTACTACACCAGTTTTAAATATTCATAGAAATATTTAATTATTCCCTTGATATGATAAGGATAAATTCCCTAGATTATAACAGAAATCAAAGTAAAAAACTTGGTTGCGTAATAACATCAGATAATAAATTTTTGAAAAATTTATAATTTTTTTTTTTGTTTGAAATTAAATAGTGTATTTTTGTTATAATTTATACCAATGCACCCCACAACAGAAAAAAAAAGAAGTTAAAGCTTTTTATTGATTATTTTTGTTGAAAATTGTTTCTCTGAGATAACAGAATATCAAATCACATAATTTTTTTACATAACTAAAGATGAATCTTAATTTATTCGGAAACAAACCTCAACTTGATTAATAGGGACTTACAGCTTATTAAACAAAGAAGTTTGTCCAAATATGAGGTTTCTGTAGTCTAGCTAAAAGAAAAAATAAAGCAAATAATTCATGATTTTATGAAAAAAGTATTTAGCATAGTCTAGCATCTTGAAGGTCTCCTTCAAATGGTTTCAACAAAGACTAAATCTAATTGCATTTAAAGGAATGTGTTAATTCTTTGTTTTGAATAAATTGTTATTTACCTGGATTAAATATTATTTTTGTTATCGCTTCCTAATCAACAAAAACGTGAAACTTAAGTTTACTGTAGAAAATCGAATCATGGTTTATATAAACTTTTTTGCAGGTTTTGAGGTCTAACATAACCTTTTTAAATATTTTCCTTTACCCACAGGACTCCTACGGTACATTTTGGGAAATATTCTTGCCAATGTGGAAATGCTAATATATTTAAAAAGAAAATTTGTGGAGCGATGTGAAATTTGTACCATTAAAGATTGTAGTAAAACATATTTTATGATTCGGAAAATTGTATTTTCAAAATTAAGATCAAATAGACCGGAATTTCAGGTCAATTGTTTTTACTTCTCCTTTCATTTTAAAGAATTTTTGGATCAAATTAAAATTGTCGACATTAGATTCATGAAAATAAAATTAAAACTTCATGGATATGAAGGTATATAATTATAAATATATTTATTGTTTAATCAGTTTGAATCTACGATATGAGGGATATCCTAAACAGCAGTAAAATATCTAAGCTGCATTAAATTTGAACAGAATAACTTTTTTAAAGTAAATATTTTTATAACAAATAACCAAGAAATAAAAATAAACAAGCATTGATCATTCTTTTATGAAGATCTATTGAGGATTCTAATCTAAGACGTATTAATTGTTATTCTTAAGGCATATAACCATTGGCATTGCCATCACCTGCCTCATTAAGATGCAAGCTGTGATATCACTTATGATCTGGCACCAGTCTTACCCATGAAGGAAATAACCTGACCATGAAAGTTTGTTCACAGGAAATGCATGGATGCATGTTTGGGGTTGTAGTAATACAGGTCATAACTTGGATACTAGTCAGTGCTCTACTATTTTATAGAGGAATTAACAACCTGTGGAAGGCACAACCTCAGTCTAACACCACAACATGGAATTCAACATTAATCCAATCAGAAGATTCTAGAACGAAAGGTTACACTGCTGGTGTTATCATATTGATAATTGCATCAATCATGATAGTCATAGGTCCAACGTTTATAATCGTTGTTGTAGTCGAAAAATGTTACAGGAAACACAAATTCAAGAAGGTATGTACATTTTTTTTTTCAAATATTTGTACATTGTATGATAATGATCATTTATTTTAAAAAATATAAATATACTTTAACTTACAGTTGCCTCAAGAAGATCTACCTCCGAAATATGAGGATGTAGTACTGCAAGAAATGGCACCACGCTATTCATCATTATTTTTAAACAATGAAATGTAGAGACAAATAGATTTATTTTAATGAAATATTTAGTAATTTGTTATTGAAATGAAGGAAAAATGAAAGGTTTTCATATTTTTAAAATCAATAAAACAAACAGTATTATTCTGTATTGTAAAAATACAAATTTATCATTATAAAAAAAAAGTTTAAATACTTAAAAATAATTTTTACTTAATAATATTCATATATTCTTAAATATATCTGTAAAAAAAATAATCACTTATCTTCTCGCTTTGGTAGCTGTCTTAAAAATGTTTTATAATACTAACAATATGAGAATCAGTCCAGATATTTCTATCATAAATCAATTTGGAAGAAAATCTGGGTTTACTGAAGGCAAAACTTTATTTTAAAACAAAAATGCAGCAAGCTTATGCTATATGCATAACTATCAAAAGAATAACTTGATATGACTAACTACATTCAGTCAATTGATTTCATTTAAAAATTTACTTTAGGCTATGTTTGAAATTAATTACTTACAGAAATGGAAGAGTTTTATTTTTTACAACTGAAATTTCAAGCTTACTGTTACATCTACATTAGACAGGTCTAACAAAAGATGCATCAAAGTAAAAAACAGAGATGCATTTATGATAACAGTTTGTCATTAAATATCACATTAATTATCATAGCTTCACCTTGTCTATTATTATGTAAAGTTATGAAATAAATAAAAAACAGAACATGAGATGAATGCACAAGTCTCAAAGAAAAAGGAAGATGACATTTTAATGTAACTTTTTAAAATTTTTGTTCATGATTTATACAAAAATAAATTTTGTTCAAAATCAATATAATCAAACTAAAATAAATATGTCTCTCAGTAAAAACATCACCAACAGCAAAGAAAGTTCTAAAATAAAAAGTTCAAATTAAAATTAAAAATAAAACTAAAGTAACCTTTATTTGCTTTTAATTTTAAAGTGAAATAATTTTACTAAAGTAACCTATTAAGTATCTTAATCAAATTAAGTTTACAAATAAAAGAATAATTAACAGTTTATATTTCCATTTCTTTCTTTCTTTGTAATATAAATATATGTATATTTTATCACATTTGTAAGTTTTTTCTCTTCTCAATAATAGGGTTTAAGAGAAATTGAGATATTTTAAAAAAGGTATCATTTACCCATTGAACATTATGTAAAAAAAATTGTACATTATCTTGTATTCAATTACACAACATTATTTCTATTATTGTTGGTAGGTGAACGAGTTTTTTTCGTAGGTTTTTGCATTAAATAAATAGTATTGTTGTTGAAATAGTCCTGAATCTCATAGAGCATTTTTTTATGGGTTTCTGGAAGGAAAATGAATACAAATAGAACTGAAAGCATTGACATTCCAGCAAAGAGCCACTGGACCCCGTGAGAACCGCCGAGAAGATCGGGAAGTGTCCTGTAGATTTGAAGTGCTGAGAACATTATAACATGTGCTAAGGAGACAATGAAACCTTGAGAAAATCCTCTTATCTCCATTGGAAACAATTCTGCAGTCATAGTCCAAGGTATACTCATCAGACCAATAACACTGAGTGACATGTATGTTAACATACAAATCACAGGAATAATACTGTGCTCAATTACACCTGAAAAAATAAATATTATAAAAATGAAATTATTTTCTTGTGTAAAAAAGCAGAACGTTATAATAAAATATATGTTTTAACTCATTAATAAGACATATAATGTATAAATAATTATTTAAGTTCCAAATATACTATTAATAAAATAAAGATGTAATTCAACTGTGGTCAATATTTGTACTGACCAGGATTTACTTTCAGGATCAGAATTCAGTACTAGCAGATTCAGGATTTAATTTTAGGGAGGGGGCTTCACCCCGATAGGTTTTTTTTTTTCATATATATATAAAACAATAATTACTTTGGAAAAAAATAAAAGAAACTAACTAACTATATGAAATGGTGTTTAAGTGATACTTGAAGTCCTATTAAATGTAATTAAACGAACAATAACACTTTAAGGGATATTTTTTTTCCATAAAACAGGGTTACATTTTACCATTTTGGAGGGGGGAGGGGGTTTCAGCCCGAAAGCCTCCTCTCTTCCCCTAGATCCGCCTGTGCCAAGGGGTAATTTATGGCTTTTTTAAGTAGATCTTAATATTAGCAAGATTTATTTTATAAGGCTAACACAAAATCGATATTAACTGACAAAAACCTTAATTCAACATCAATCTTGTAATCTGGAACTCTCTGCAATCATGACAAGCAGTATTAGTCATGAAGCACTTATTCATCATTACATTTCATGATAGAAGTTAGAAACGGTATGTTATCATTCTTTAAATAAATAAAAATAAGAGGCCTGATACTTAAGAAATAAAAAACAAACTAATAACTTTTGATTAAATTCATAATAAGTAACTTTAACAAAAACAGAAATATATAAATTATAAGTTGAACATATAGTAACTGAATTTACAAACCTGTGGCTATTTGCCATGTATAATAACCCGATATTGTCAAAACAATAGCCATTCCTGTGCCACTGCACATACACAATGTCCTCCTTCCAAACCTTTGCAATAATACACTGGTCAGAAGTCCAATTAACATTCTGATTAAACCGATAAGGATGGTAGACACATAAGGATTAAATCCACTCTTTACTTCCTGTAAAATAAAAACTGTAAATACAATATGAAAACATTAAACAAAACAAAGAAGTGATAATTAAAAAGCCTAAAATGATTTTACAAACATAATTTTGGATTTCATCCATATCCCTATAATGAAATAATTTTAAATTTGATTAATAAATTTAACATATAAATAAACTAAATACAATATAATATACAGACCAAACATAATTTTAGTGAAAACTTAGAAAAAATTCGGTGTGCGCATCTCACAACTTTCTCTTGCCCTCTTAGCAGAAATAAGTACTCATGTTTTCATACAAAGGGAAAGTGAAAATAAAAATAGACGCTATATTTATTTATATTTCATTGTGGATATTTTTATTTGTTTAAATATCCTTATACATACAAATTTTAATTTTTATATTGCTGTATTCTATGAAATTAAATATTAAATAATACCAACGATAGAATTTATGAAAACCGCATATGTATATGTACATAATATTGTCGGGGTCTGTATTATACTTGGATGCCTGTTGTAATCTTTCAGGCTTAACTAGAGTTAGATCGGGCGAGCTCGTTTTCCTTTGGTTCCTCCATTACAACTATCAGTTACAATCTCTTTTTTCTCCTTTAGTTAAACATCAAATTCTTTCATATTTTATATTTAACTATTTTTTATATCAAAGATTAATGTGAAATGGTTAATTATTTCAATTAAAAAAATTAAAGGTACTTTAGAGAAAGCTAATATTGAAAATTAGCCATTTAAGTCCCGTTAGAAAATATCAATGAGAATAAAACCTACATTATATTAAAAACTGCTTAATAATACACTGATATATAGAGTTTAATCAAAATCGTTAGAGCTATTTTTGAGAAAAATGTGTTAAATCGATTATATAAAGTACCACTTTTGGTTTGCCGATTTTGACAAAAATGTTACTGTAACATCCAAGGCTTATAAAAACCTCAAATATGCAATTTCAGTTTTGTATTTGAGCTAGGCTGTTCACACACACACACCATTTTGTGGGACTTGGTTATTTGGACTCACTGGACCTCAAAACGTGTATTTCTGTTACAAACTCAGATTAGAAAATTTTCAAGATCGCAATACTTACCTTTACTATATATTACATAATGAAGTATGTTATATTATAATATGAAATATATTAAATTAATGAAAAACTAGAAAAATAAAATACAATATTAATTTAATAACATATGTTACATTCTTTCATGGGTATAACATTTAAGAGAATATTTCTTTTTATTAATGGAATCTCAGAATCTATAAAAAAAATTATAAATTATAGAAATAAGTTATTTCAACTCACCTCAAAGAAGGTGACAGCATAGAAAATTGTAATATAAATGCCAGCGTATTGTTGGAAGAAGAAAAGAGCAATAAGAATTAACAGTGGTTTGTAACCAGTAGGCTTGGAATATCCTTTAATAATAGTCATGAACATCGATGTTGGTACAGCTGGTTTTTTCGAGTTAACTTCTCTTTGCATTTGAGCCAACTGTTTCTCAGGAAGTCCTTGCTAGAAGAAAGAATAATACTGTTATGATAAACATAAAGAAATCTTTCCATACCTAATAATTAATATCTAAATTAAAAAAAATAATTCTATTGTCTGGTAGAGGTGTCATGTAACGAAGCTGTTAATTCAACATCACTAATGATTCATAGGAAAAAACATTAGGATTGATTGATGAAATTTATACTTATCTAAACTCAGAGAAGGATATAGACAGGCTTATAAGATCTACAACGTTAGAGGGAATACAAAATACAAGAGTGTTGGATAAACTGTAGTATGTTTCGTTAAGTTTGAAAATGGATAGGCATGTGTGTATTTAAAAAACATACTTGGGTAAATTATGAATACTGATGACCTTGTAGTTGTTGGTCAACATCTTCCTCAAACAGATACTGATCAATAAATTACATGAGAAAAATATGTTGAATGAGTAGGGCAGGGAATTGAGGCTGAAAAAGTATCATCCTCTAAGCAAAGAGACAAAAAAGAGGAAGAAAAGATTTGAGCAAATTATTTTTAAGAATGTTCTATAAATAAGCAGAGATTGGGGTAGCTCAGTGGTAGGGTACTATGCTTCCAATGCTAAAGGTTCCAGGCTCATCCCAGATAAATTATTTGTTCTGTTTCATTGGCAGTGGAGCGACCCTGGTTTATGAGACCCTACTAGGGCACACCCACCCTCTATAAAGTGGGTACCCTTAATTAAATAATTGATTAAGGGGAAAAACCTGTTGAGCGTGATAACGGTCAAATCACCTCCTTGCATAATTGTTGAACAAGAAACAGTGCTTTCCCTAAATACTACTGAACCCAAGACCCTTCATCGGTTGTAGTGGTACAGGTTTTACATAAATAAGCAGAGAGGGAAGTGAAGTGAATATTATCAATTGATATAAGATCAATGGCAGCAAAATCATCAATTGATAATTTTGCTGCTAATGATCTTCTTATAATTTATAGCACATTTTAACCACAAACGTCTTGAAAATATATATTTGGCACACATGGTTATCATTTGAATTGTCATGAAGAAATTAATTTAGTAATTTAACTCCTTTTTGTCAAAAATTGATTTATAAGGTGTTAGAACTTTCAAGAAAATATGTTACAATATAAGAATTATTATTATACTATGATATAATAATGATTATGATGTTATCTTTTTTATATATTTTTTCCACCCCCTTCCTAAAAAGATGTTATTCATATTTAATAGAAATATGTATTTAATTTACTTTTCTTTTAGTTAGATCTTCCCTCCATGGTCATTGGAAACACCATTACCTTAAACTCAAATGTTTTTGTGATCTCTTATAAGTCGCCACGAAAATGCTCTCTAACATTACTGGCAGGTCTAATTTTTTCCTTGTAGCTGTGGATGATAATGGACAATCTTGTGTCATGCATTGGACCAATAGCTATTCATCCTCATTAGTTTTGATTCCCATTGGGTCTCCCATATTTTTCCTATTTCTAGCTTTATTTTTCCAAAGAGAGTTTTTTATAGATACTTCAGTGATTATTGTAATCAGGGTTTTTCTTGATTTTCTTTTCATGCGCCCGATAAGCTAATTTATTTCTAATGGTCACTCAGTGTGAATGTACCCAGATGAATTTCCGCACCTTATGTTTTCAATTGTTACCAAATCTTCCTTATTCCTCTTGCTAAAGTAGTTTGGTATCCTTAATGTTAGATATAGCACTGATATAATCCATTGGGAACATTGTCAGCGGCATCTATGAATCAATTAGCGAGCAAATCATCCTTGTTCAACCTACATTATTTTTTATCATATTCATTTTCTTTATTAGCAATTAATATTTATTATGTGATAGGCACAAATCCGATCATCTGACATGTTAATGAATGGTCCTCACAAGTGTGGAGTCTCCCGTACCTGACAAGATCTGAAAATCTTTCCCTAGAATGCTTGCTATAGAAGTGGTTCTTTTAACACAATGGCTCACCCATCCTATCTAAGCCTGTCCCACTCACATTGTTCAAGAGGAAAAGAGAGTTTGTCAAGCAGGGAAGTAATAAAAAAAGACAGAGATCATAAATTATCAAGCAAGCATCCATCAATTTGAAGAGTTTTTGGGTATTAGAGCTAACAATAGAACATAGCACTTCATTGTCTGCTTTAGATGCATCCATGTATAAGAAGTTGCATTTCAACAGAAGTAACATTTCTTTTTTGTAACTACCAATTAATTTCAGCTAGTAAGGAATGAATCCATGGGGCAAAGGTTATATATCATGCTTATCTGTAATATTGTTTGATTTCAATTCTCAAGTTCCAGTTGTTTCTTAAAATGCTTCTACAAATTGTTCCTCCTTTCAATTGTATTTCCTTATTCCTCTCTATTCAACATATTCAGGGCTGTCTTTGACATAGTATCGTAGATTCCTGATCCAAAATATATTTCAATTTTGATGGTTGAATAATATATATTAAATAAACATTCTGTCCACCTTCCAGGTTGTTGGGTAAAATAATTTAAGCAAATGGAGTCTTTGATCACAATCCTCTTTGAGTAGTTTTACATGCATTGTTTACATAAGCCAATGGTCTAATTGTATTCCTACATATGTCTGTCTACAAAGGGTATATTGATGCTACCCATCCTCAATGTTGGAGTATGTGCAGTATCTAAGCCTACTAATAGAAATATGATAAACGACAATACTTGCATTATTTAGACTAATGATTTTTGGTAAGCGCTGCTGAACAAAACAATCGTATTTGATGCTAATCAACTTTACTTTTAAAAAATGATTACTGGCACAAAAACAGGAATAATAATATAAGTAAGAATATTTTTTTCCAGTGATTTATTCTCCCATTTTTTTTCTACTTAATTATATCATTACATATAATGGATCCACTTATATCCCATCTTCAGACTAGAAATTACAACATATCGCTATTAACAATTATATATGAACAATAAAGCAGTTATCAATATAAATAAAAACAACAATAATTTAATTTTTATTTTATTTTGCCAATCTTACCAGTATCCTGTATCATCTTAATTCTCCATAAGACTTACCATGTTAATAAATTGTTTTATTTTTTGTCTTATTGCTAAAAATGTAGTAGTTTTAAAAATATTTATTTATTTAATTATTACTATTATTATATGTATTTTATTATTTTCAATGTTGAATATATTACCTGGAAATCTTATTTAATTCTCCTCTAGGGAGAGTCTAGTCAGATACTGAAAATTAAACTTTAAGCAAGGGGTCAAATTCCAATTCTTATATTTATTTTTATATATCTAATTTATTTATAAGATAAGCATAGTGACTCCCTATTTTGGCCGCATCGGTTTTAAAATTAATAGGTGTTTAATGATGAATGATGATTCCATTATTTTTCTCTGTATGCTGTGTGTTTCTTTATATAAAATTTGTGGTTTTACTAAGTTGAAATTATGTCTATTTGTAATAATAAGATGGTCTAAGGCTGTTTTGTTATCAGTTTTACTATTTTTTGTATCATTGAGATGCTGATTCATCCTTTTTTTCATATTTTGTCTTGTTTCACCAATGTATGTCGCTTCACAATTATTACAATCCACCTTGTATACTACGTCTTTTTGTTTCAATTTATTTAACATATCCTTCATTGGACTTAGTAAAAAGACGTAGTATACAAGGTGGATTGTAATAATTGTGAAGTGATAGTGATCCGTTATATGTAATGATATAATTGAGTGAAAAAAATGGGAGAATAAATCACTGGAAAAAAATATTCTTACTTATGTATCTAGAAAATAAGTATCTCCCTTAGGATAAATAAAGAAAATAAAGGAATAATAATAAGAAATATGAACTCACCTCAGTTTCTTTTCTGGCTAAGAACTGGAGTGCCTTGAGGGCTTCTTCAGTTCTACCTTTTGAGCAAAGCCACAATGGACTCTCAGGTGACCAGAGGAACATTAGAAATACAGGAATGGCACAGTAAAGAATACCTGTCCAAGCAACTATCCTCCAAGGTAACATTGATCCTTTTATGTAAACGAATAACATCCCTAAATTGTAATACAAATATTCATTAATAGTAAAAATGACACTAAATACTTTAGTTCACCAACTATTCAACATTAAAACTAATAAATAAATAAACCATAGTCGGTTTCAAATAAATTTCTTATTTTTCATCAAATACAAAGATTAAGTTTGAGGCTTTTACTTCTAGAAATGAAATCTCACTATTGCAATCCTGTTTAGGAACCATTGTCCTAATGTACTTGGCCATCATAGGCTAAATAGTCACACCTATTAATGCAATTCTATTATTTTTCTTCTTAATACTAATATGTTAGATAATATTCTCATGATCAACTCAATGGCTAAAAGATGAAAATCTTAAAAGCAATGACAAATTATTTTAATTTTCAACTGTCCAGAAACTAATATAATAAATGTATAAAACTGTTGATAAATGAAGTAACAAATTCCATTAATAGAATTAATAACATATTAATATTAAAATAAACACAAAGTCGGTTTGTAAATAATTGTTACAACAATGATTTTATTCTCACCTAAGGATGTCATTGATGGACCAGTACAAATAAGAGATCCTCGTAAATCTGCACGTGCAACTTCTGTAATATATACAATAGCTGGACTTGGACCCATAGCTGAAGAAAAACAAATTTAAATTAAAAAAAAAGAGTAATAGAATTTAAAAGAAATCATTAATAATCTAATTGGGGAAAAAAAAACCTATATCACCACAATCCATGGAGGATCTAGGGTTCAACAATTTGTAAAGAACTGTTTCTTGGCCAACAGTTGTGCAAGGCAGTGATCTGACTTAATTAACCTCCTCTTCATTAATTATTAAATTAATGGAATCCATTTAGAATCAAGTACTTCATAGACCCACTGTTTAAAGGATTAATAAACTGCATTTCCCTTGATGTTTTTGTAAGTCATAATACAAAAATAAACATTGGCTAATTTATAAACCATTTGTTTTGTTCATGAGATTTTGACATTTACAATGTCAATTAGTGAAGCTGCTAGATCTTGTCCCTTTGAGGAGAACACTGTCTGTGAGGTGGGTATGAATTTGATATTTTCGTTATTGCAAGCGTTACGTTTTTCAAAGGAGATTGTACAGCGACATGTGCTTCATTTGATTTTTGGTGATTAAGGTGGCAGGGTTTCCACAGCTAGGGCACATCACCGTTTGCTGGCAATTTATTTTTGTAAAACTTAGGCAGCCTTAAAAGTGGGGTTCATGTAGTATTTATTTTTTAACCACCTCTCAGACTTATTTCTAGTATTCAAAATATATGTACAAGGCTATAGCTGACAGACATATAAGAAAATAATTTTCACAATCTACCAAGTGACATATCTTCTTAATAGGAACGATAATATTATTTTCTCAGTCAGTAGGGGTTATAATCTTGTAGACAGTAAAAATCAAAGAGGCACCATTAGACTCGAGGTTGCTAAGGTTAAGCCTTACTACTGTCAGCAACAAATATTAATGCAGAATATGATAATCATTTTAAATTGGAACATTTTAAGATCAAAGTATAGGTGCACAATTAAATAACTCTAATTACAATAATAAATAGATATTATATACATAAACATACCAATTGCAAATCCAGTAAGAAATCTTCCAATGTAAATCATATAAATGTTTGAAGCAGTTGCGATAAGGACCCATCCAATCATATATGGTACACAAGCCACCTTTATTGTATTTAACCTTCCTATTTTATCGACTAGAGTTCCACAAAGAAATGCACCAAACGGCACTACCAGAACAGCAAGACTAGCTGAAAAACGAAGAAGAAGAATTATTTAAACATTTCAGTTGAAAAGAGAAATTATTAAAAAATATAAATGAAATGAAACATTTATGAACTTAATATACCATTATATATATGTGTGTATATATATATATATATATATATATTATATATATATATATATATATATATATATATATATTTATATGTTTTTTTTTGTTTTCTTCTGCAACCATACCATTTTCCAGTTGCATTTATACCTCTTATTCATAAAAAACGTTATTTTGTAAAGAGTTTATTGATTGATATGGTAGTAAAGGCTGTTACCATATTATTTGCATCTAAATCTAACAGAAAAACATTTAAAATGTTTAAAACTTGGATCATAAGCTTTCAAAGAAGTCGTTTTATTTTGACAGCCTAGTGAACAAAATGACTTTTCACATTAGTTACAAGATGTCTACAAATGTCAGCCAGTCTAATAAAAGAAATTTCCTACTAGAAATAAAATTCAATGTTTTCATTTAAATGACAGATGTAAAGCTACCAATTCTTTAGATTAATAATATTTACTTTCCTAAAACATATAATGACTATTTACACTTGAGGATTTCAAATAAAAAGTTTGAATTTAAGTGTGCTTTATTCGGTTTTCCGGTTTCTGGTTCCTGCATCAGAGAAACTAGCATTCTGTCGATGACGATGTCTCATACAAACAAAATTGATTATTTTGAAAAATTTGCAACAGAATTGAATATATATTAACTTTTTCACTATTTTGTATAGTTTCTGAGATATCTATCCTATAGTGTCTGAAAAATTTAGCTCACATTTTTATTTTATTTTGATAAACTAACTCTTTGTTGATAAACATTAAATTTCTTTCAAAAGTATACCATGCTTTATTAATTCATCTTCAACCTTTCAAAAGTTAAAGCTATTATAACTTAATGTGTAAATTCTGAGATTTCGCAGAAAAACTTATCTTTTGTATTTTTCATTATTACACTACTCTAAACTTTCATACAATACAATATATACGTATTTATTTATTTATATAAGTATTATATAATATAGGCATAAGTAGCATTTGAATAAGTTATATGCATACATTTATTATATAATATATTTTGAGGTACATTTTTAGATATCGAAAATAATATTGTTTATTATTAGATATTATTTTCAACCCTACAAATCTAAGACCTTTTGCACTAACAATAGCCATATGTGAAATGTATTTTTTGAGGTTGCAATATGCTATAAATCATAGTCATTTTTTAGATTTTAAACCTATCGTAAAGTTAATTCATAATTTTTTAAAACGATTCTTAACTGATTTAGGCAACATAAAGTCTATTACACACTAATAGACCATCATTTGTCTATAGGCCGTTTAAAGACAGTCTAGAGACACTGTTCTTTGCCTCCTCTAGTGTCCACACTAAAACATGAATTTTTCAGTTTTTTCATTTAATCTTTGGAGTCCACCATGGAGTATATTGTTTAGTGTGGAATGACTTCGTGCTTAGTGCTAATTACAAATAAAAAAACGCGAAAACGTAAAGCTTGGTGGTTGCACAAAGTGCTCGCAGAAGGACCTAGCTTCGGTAATGCATTAATTAATAAATTAAGGAAGATGCCATGAGTTTTCAGAATTTCACCTGGCTGACATCTACTGATTTTGAAGATTTGCTTGTGATGGTTGGAGGGATACACAATTTAGAGAAATCATCGCAGCTTATCTTCAACTGGCAATCACACTGCGTTTTCTGGAAAGTGGAGACTAACTCACGAGCCTCATGTACACTTCAGAATATCTAAGCAGGCAACACAGAAATCGTACCAGAGGTTTGCGAAAAGAATATCTGATCATCATCACACCGAGGGGCACTAAAACTATCAAAATGTTGCCCGTCTAACTTTGCATGCGGTCATTCATTTCGATCATGAGACTTTAGACCTGCGATTTTTTTTGTCTCAAGTCTACATCAGAGAAGCAAGCCCGGCTGGACCCTCAGCGGCTACTGAACCCTACAAAGCCGTAGTCAGTAAAAGAAGCCGCAGGAGGACCAAAGCAGCTAACAAGGTAGCCAGTAATTTAAATAACCCGATTGAGCCGACCAGTCATGCCTCTCCTGAAGATTCAGACCAATTACGAAGTAAGCCAAGTACAATGGCAGATATCGTAAAATCTCTGCCATTGAAGCCGGCAGAGATATCTAACTCTAAACCCACCTACGTCACAATTAGTGGGCCCGGTAAAAGTCCCGTGGAAATCATCAGTGGGCTGCCATCTCCTACTGAAATAGGAGTTAATGCCTCCATAGTACGTGCTACTAAGGGAGGCTCGGTCTTAGTTCGGATGGAAGATAGCTCCCAAGCGGCGAAAGTTATTGGGTGGCAGGGTCTACAAGAAGTAGGGCTAGAGGCCAGGCTTGCACTTAAGAAACGACCTAGGCTTGAAATTAAAGATGTGCCCAATTCATGGACTGCGGAGGCATTAATTACGCTTTTAGGGGTAAAGCTAATTGATAAATCGATCCCAGCTTCACTCGTAAACGATGGACTTCGGCCTGTTTTTTCTTCTACAGCAAGGAATGGAATAACTAAAAACTGGGTGCTGGAAGTGCACCCAACCCTGCGATTCCATCTATTAGACATGACATGCTTGAATGGAGGATGGTGGTCAATGACCTTTGAAGATAACCTCGACGCCTCCCGTTGTACCAAGTGTCAGGACTGCACGCACTCTAAGGCCACATGTCCATCAGATGCACTGGTCTGCATCTGGTGTGCAGGTACTGGTCATTTTCTCAAGGAGTGCCCCAAAAAACTAGCTCAGGCAGGGCCGACATGCATCAACTGTGTGAGGGCAAAGGCCCATCCCAGGCACACTAAGCATAAGGCGGGCAGTCGTGATTGTCCTGTGCATTTAAATTGGTAAAAAAAAATGGCGATGAGGACTTCTTATGAGTAAGATCTGCATCCTTCAGCTCAATATGGGCCGCCGGCGTCTAGTTGCGGAAGAACTACGCTGCCTCTCACAAAGCTACGACATCATGGCAGTCCAGGAACCGAGCTGCTGGGGAAACAAGGTCACGGGGTTTGGTCTCACATCGAGGGTTATAGCCTTGAGCAGTGGAGAGAGGAGGCCCAGGGCTGCTATTGTGGTTAACAACCCGAACCTCGATGTTATGGATCTGAGGCAGTTTACCATGGCGGATTGTGTTGCTTGTCATATCAGATGGAACAATGTTGCCTTTACGCTGGTCTCATCATATTTACCGGACGGGGGCGATATTGACGAAGACATATCCGCCATGGAGATGATCACGGCTAGCACCAGGAACGTGATCATATGCTCAGATACCAACTCCTGGAACACGGTCTGGGGATCTAATCGAACTAATAGAAGGGGCGCTAAGCTCGGTGAATTTATTGCCCGAAACCAATTATTGGTTATGAACGATCCCTCTGCTACCCCGACGTTCTTTAGGGCTAGGGGGTAGAGCTGGATTGATGTTACATTGGTATCACCGGTGCTGGCAAACCGCATTATCGATTGGGTCCTCCGATCTGAGACGAGTTCCGACCACCAAGCGATAGCCTTTAGGCTGGCGGAAAATACAGAAGTTTCCCTCGGGATAGAAAAAGGTTACCTTACTCGAAAAGGAAATTGGAGTGCCTTCCGGTCATTGCTGGAGGGAAAACTGGTCGACGAAGACTGGGATGAGGCTGAAATGGAGCAAACAGATGATCTGGATTACCGAGTGTCCAGGATCACTGATGTCATCCGCGATACCGCTGAAGAATCCCTTCAGCACCGGAAAGCGAGAGCTCGACCTGTCCCATGGTGGACGCCTGCCTTAACCACAATGAAGAGAGAACTCTACAAGGCACGGCGTTCCTACCAGAAGTGTACTTGCGAAGAGAGGCGCATTACACTTCGTGATGAGTACAAGTCTAAAGCCAGGGCATACTGAAACGAGGTGCGGTTAAGAAAGCGGAAGTCTTGGGACGAATTCATCGTTCAGGAGTCATCTAAGAATCCCTGAGGTGTACCTTACAGAGTGGCCCTTTGTAAGTTTGCTCCACAGCAAGTGATTGCAGCTTTGAAGCGCGGATGTTCCCAGGCAACCACTCTGGAAGAGACTGCAAAGGTGTTCCTATCTGAGACCTACCCCAGAGATGATTCGTCCCAGGATAATGAGGAGGAAATATTTATAAGACGCACTACGGTATGCCCACCTGGTACGGACTTGTGCCCACCGTGGGACATATGGGATCTACGTGCTGCTGTGGATAGGCAAAAGGCTGGTCATGCACCTGGATTAGACTCCATAGACGCAGCAATCCTCAGGAACAGTATCCCCTATATTGAACAGAGACTGTTGACATTGTTCAATGATTGTCTGGACAGGAGATACTTTCCTAAGAGTTGGAAAATTGCTGATGTTAGACTCCTCTACAAGGGAGGAGGCAAGGACAAGCAATTAGCCAAATCTTACAGGCCTATATGCCTCCTCCCTATCATGAGTAAATTATTGGAGACCCTGTTGATGATGAGTCTACGACCAGTCTTCTCTAGGGCTAGCCATCCACGGCAGTATGGATCCACTAAAGGCAGGGGAACCGCAGATGCCCTGCTGAGAGTGCGCCGTGACGTTGAAGAGAAGGCGGAGAAGTATGTCATGCTCATCCTGTTCGACATATCTTCCGCCTTTGATAGCGTCTGGTGGCCGAGCGTACTCCAGCAGTTGCAGAAGTATGAGGCTCCCAGCAACTTATATGATCTTTTAAGGAGCTACCTCCAGGACCGAACATTGAAGATAAAAGGTAGCTTCTTTGAAGTACAAGAGTCGATGGAAAGAGGTTGTCCGCAGGGCTCGGTTCTTGGTCCAGTCCTGTGGAAATTAGTCTTCGATGAGTTGCTGGGGGTACTAGAACAGGAGCGGTTCCCCGCCACGGCCTATGTTGATGATCTGGCCATTGTAGTGGCCTCAAACAGCAGAGCCAGGTTAAAAGAAGAAGCTGAACGATGTACCAACCTCGTAGGAGGATGGTGCGAGAGAAAAAAGATGAAGATGGCGGCTGCTAAGACCCAATCCATTCTTTTAAGAGGTAAGACTGACAGGGCCCACCCTATTACTCTCAGAATAGAAGGAGAAAGGATACGTCCAAGTGAGGCTGTTACATACCTTGGCATAAGAATTGGGAGAAATTTCAACTTTACGCCTCACTTGGACTACATGAAAGGTAGGGTAGCTCTGGCTCTCAATGGACTTAGTCGCATCGGGGGCGCCTTTTGGGGTCTCAGGTACCCAGCCACTTTAACTATTTATAAAGGAGTTATTCTGGGCATCCTGAGATATGTGTCCCCTGCGTGGAGTCATTATCTCTCGCACCAACAGAAGAAAAGGTTGGCAACAATCCAGCGGATGGCTCTGCTGCGGGTCACTAGAGCGTACCGTTCAGTGTCTCATGAGGCAGTACAAGTCTTAGCCGGAACTATTCCTATTGATCTTCTCCTACGAGAAGAATACTTTCGGCATAAGATGAAGAGGAAAGGCCTGGTGGATCTACCGGCGAATCTTCGTGTGAGGATCAGTGAAGACCCTATTAGATGGAAGAGCATTCTTCGGGAGAACACATTAAAGGAATGGAACCAGCGTTGGCTGACGACGCCAAAAGGGGCTAGGCTAAGAAAATACTTCCCCACCGTTGGTTCAAGAATGGAACAGACATGGGTTCTCCCGGACTACTGGGTCTCACAGTTCCTCACAGGGTATGGGGGTTTCCGAGCAAAGCTCGCTGAATATGGCAAGAACATCGATCCCCTATGCCCAAGTTGCAGAGTGCCGGAGACCGCCGAGCATATCATCCTTGTCTGTACCGCCTTTGAGGCACTGAGGGCTAAGTTGTTGAGGGAGAAGGGGCTCTACGCTCTGATGGAGAGCAATCTCCCTCAACTTATGACAAAGGAAAAATATCTGTATTACAAGGCATTCGTATACGGGTGGAAGGAACTGGTTGACCCAAACCCACTTTTCATTGGGAAGAAGAAATGAACTAGCATCCGGAAGACCGCCAGAGAGGGTGGAAGAAGATGCTGGCTAAAAAGAGAAAAGAGAGAAGAAAAAAAAAAAGAGCAGGCTGTGTGCACAGCTGTAAAATAAATGTAATTGGTCTGAATGCAGTAGTGAATTGTAACGCATGCGTTGCTACTCACTACTGCATAACACCCGTATTGCCTTATTGGCAGGGTAGGGTGTAAATAAAATAAAAAAATGTCTCAAGTCTACAGCAAAAAGCCTAGTAGACGACAATTGGTCTCGTTGGAGACCAAAATCCCGCAACATGTCTACTAATGTGGACTAGGCTTAAGAATTGATATGACATATTAAGTACTCTAGAAGAATTTCAAAAATTTTCTATGGTCTAATTAGTGAAATAAACTATAAAAAAAACAAAAACAACTGGTTTTCTATATTGTAGGTATATATATATATATATATATATATATATATATATATATAAACTTATTCGTATATATATAACCATGCTACATAAAACACATACCAATCCAAGCAGTTTGATCTTTTGTCACAGGTATTTCAGAATCAGGAGCTTCTAGTTGAGGAATTAATATGGCGGAGAAGGCCACAACTATACCAACTGGAAGATGAAATGAAGCTGCTGCAATACAGGCTAGAATCTGCAATATTTCATAAAAATAAGTTAATACTTTTTAATATGAAACTTAACCATAGGAATTCATAGTTAGTAATACATCAGAGTATACATGGTCTTTTACAAAAGCAATTAATTCAAAATTAAAAAAGGAAATGACATGAAATTAATTGGCGTGATTATATACAAATAAATAACAATAAAAATCTGCAGTGCTTTTCTGTAAATAATGGTAAAGCTCGTGAGCATTTAGAATGAAATGTTCAGACCATGGTCTGAATGAAAAAAAATCATTTAGACCATGGTCTGATTCTATACAGAAAACCAGGAAATTTAAGTTTTGTATTGTTTTATTTTGTTACATAATTTGCATTTTATGTAGATTTTATTTTTAGAAGTGATCACTAAAATATTTGATTTATGCATTTATTTTCTTTTTTTATAGCTCATTTAAAAAATAATGTAATTTTAAAAATAACAAAATAATATAACTAAATAAAAAATTGGATCAATTTCAGTAAAAAATGTTTCCTCGAATCGAAGGAATGTACTGGGAGGTGACACAATGTAAATATTTAAAGAATAACTATTTAGAAATAATTAATTAATAATTTGCAATATTTTGAAATTCTGTCATATTTCCTCAGATAAACATTAATGAAACCGTGAAATCACTTTTCATCAGTGAATTATACACTAAAGTTTTATAAAAGTATGGATATGTAGTAAACAAAAAAAAAATCGCTTACCACAGAGACAAATATTCTTGCATTTAAAAAATATTTTGATTACTTTACTATTCCACAATTATAATTACCTAAATTAAATACTTATTAGTTATAAATTTTGATTCAACCAATATTGTGTCACTTAGAAAAACATTACTATAATTTTCTAGAGTTTTGTGTGAAATGGATGACCTGAATGTGTTTTTTGTTGATGCTCCTAAGGTATATTTTCAGCTTTTTAAATATTTCTCATTATTCACGTAAAGGGCACTTGAATTCGCAACAAATTCATAACACTCATTTATAAGAGTTACAACTAGGTTAAAAAAAAATTAAACATTTAAATTTATTATAAAGCTACATGTACACTTGTGAGTGAATTTGGTGACTTATGTAAATTTTAGAGGGGAATTTCGCTATCTTGACACTCGATTCTCTGGCGAGATAGAAACTATTTTATGGTGAGAACTCTCAGGTACATGTCAACATACAATACATAGAGAGTTAAGAGATCAATCATTCCCCAACAGTGGCCAACATGATAATAATAAAAAAAAAAAAAGAAAAGAAACAGAGAACCTGCACTTAATTGGAAATTAGAAGTAAATAAATAAATGATGTAGAGATGGTTGACCGTTGATATAATATGAGAAGGAGTTAATCAGGGGGGGGGGGAGGTGCGGTCAAATAAATACTATTAATTTATTAATATTAATATTAAATAATTACTATATTTTCTTCTCATATTCTTCTCATAAATAAATAAATGATAATAATTATGAAATTTAAATTCCCAGGCAGTCTAAGAGACAGGAGGACAGTGCCTAAATATAAGGTACCTTTCTCCCCTATATATTGAGATAACTTCAAAAATCTATATGAATATTAAAATAAATATGAGATATAATAGAATAATTTGTATATATTGCATAAAAAATTGAAGGGAGTCTGGATATCTCACTAAATTAAATAATACAGGATAGTCTAACGACTCTATGAAAAACAAGAAAAGATAAGGAAGGCAGTATTCCTTGGTACATAGAGTTAAATATACCTGAATGTGAACATTGATTTTCAGGTAGAGCTCTATTGAGATAGTCATTAATTACATGTCTGAAAGAAACTTTGACAGGGAGAGGTCTAATATTATTAGGTCAGGGATGCAAACATAATAGATAAAAGATATGATATATTAAGGTAATTGATATAATTCAATGCCTGAAATATTAAACAAGTATATCCCTTATAATAAATTAACCACAAAAGAAGTAGCCCAAATTCCATTTTTTGACAATTTATAAAGTGTTAAAAGGAAATAGATGCTGACTCAATAAAATATAACAAACAGTTAGATCTACAGAATATACAGCCACTGACTTGCGGTTTCAGAGAATGATGTTGGGAAAAAATCGGATAATGGTTTGCTTTGGTTGATAACCATGAATATTATCTGGAGTATGCACGTAAATTAGATACATTTTAGTTGTCAAAAGTGTAGTAACATAAAATTCAGACATTTTTAGTTTTTAACAATTATTATTACATGACAATATAATAATAATGAAATAACATCATAAAATTATTGTTTAATAAACTTAAAAATTAAATCCAAAGTTCCAATGTTTAAATAATGTTTCTGTGAGAATAAAAGATAAAATGAATAATTTGAAATACTTAAAGAGAAACAAAAAGAAGTAACAAATTAAAAATAAGTAAACAATAAATTAAATATGACAACCAAAACTGCTGTTATAGCTGTGACCATATACCATACACATTGCAGACAGAGACAAAATGAATGTTATATACAAAAAAAAAAAAGTGGTTTTTAATAAATCTATAAAGTCATTTTAAGATTTTAAACATGGACAGTAATTAAAAAAAAGCCTGATATGTATTTGTGACTACTTGCTGAGTCATACAGAATACTTACTACAGATAATATTTTCTACTTAGGAAGGAGATGCATGCATTACTTACACTTTGATATCCCTGAGCATACAACATTACAAATTTATTAGTGTTACTGAAAACTAATAATTTTACTAATTTAAAATTATTCATAACTAAAAAGAATAAATTTTTCATTTACCTGTGGATAGAGATTCTTATGAGAATCCTTATTTTGTCTTGGATCAAAACGGAGATCAAAAATACTGGCACATTGTTCGGTTGCTGTTTCTTCAGGTTTCTTTCTTTCTACCTTCACCAGAATTTTTTCAGTCTCATGTGGGTTACTGTAATAAATAACAAAAATATTAATTATAGCTTAATAAGGGAGCAACTACATAATATGAACATAATTGTTAGAAATAAAACCTCACAGTTATGGAATTGCAGTGATAAAATTTATAAACTTATAAATCATACACAAAGTTGGAAACTGAGGGAATTTGAGGTTCCTTCTTTTGCAACCACATAATGCTCAAAGTAGTTATACCTATATTGTCCTACAATCAACCATAGCATAAGTATCAGCTAGGTAGAGAAAACAGGATATATAAGGTTGACTGATGCCTGCGGATGACTGATATTCTGCTGAGAACCCTTCTTTGCAAATAGTAAGTGAAATTACTGAATGACTATAGTTCAGAGAGCAATAAGTTTTTTATTTTTGGGAATAGTGAGAAGCACACTATTCTCTCATTAGAATGCATTCTGTTTCTTTGCGTTATTTGATCAAATAATAATGGCAATATCTTACAAAATTCATCGCCAAAATCATAAATTGATTCTGACCAATTACTTAACAGATATAACTTAATGTTATATCTTAAATAACTTAATGTCAATGGTCCGGAACACGACTAGTGAAATTATTAAAAAACAATGGGCAAAAGTTAAAAGACCTCGAAATTAAACTCCAAATCACAATCATATTAGATTAAAAGTTGTAAACTTTAGACAATAAGGGCATAAACCCGAGATGGAATTCATAAAAAAACAGAATCACTTGAGGTTTCTGAGACTAAATGAACGGAAAACGAACCCTTCATGGTTTGATAGAGAAGGCCAAGAGTTGAAAAGAATAGGGCTTATCGGCTAACTAATTTTGTATATAGCTACATGGCCAATATAAGGAAAGAAAACTAGGCTTCAATTGAAAATTGAAACATCAAAATAAATACATGATAAAAAAACATTAAATTTGATTTTTCTTACACATTTTTTGTTCATATTGAATTTTTGTTGAATATAGAAATTATGAGGAAGCTTTACTGATTTGACCTACCCGGTCTGGCAAACATTTTTTGAATCGTTCCACTCAACTAAATTATTTAGGGACGGCCAGCTAGGTGCAGTATTTTCATTTTGATGGGAGGGAGAGGAGGGTGAAGGATCAAAAAAATAAAATAAAATTGCATTAGTTCTTATTATGCATAAAAATTCAACATAATTATTGTGAAATAAGCAAATATAATTTTGAATAATTAAAAATAAATTTATATATTTGTTTGGAAGATGTAGAATTTTTTTTAATGTGAATATGAATATACTTGAAAATATCGGAACAAAACGATTGGATTTATTACAATTTGTATACATTAAACATGGAAGGGAGGGGGATAGTATTCATAACATAGGTACAATTCTATAACTTTTCTAGCTAAAAATTAATAATGTTAAAAAACCCGAAAAATAATTTTGATTTCTTAGTTTGCACAACCTTGAAATAAAATATCAATGTTTTAACAGTCTAACTAGTTATGTAGAAATGTCTATAAAAATATTGCCTATAAAATATATTTACACTTAAACTTATTAAATATAATTTTTCAAAATTTATCGTAGAAAATTTATAAGAAAATCACGTGGAAGTGGAAGTGTACACATGAGAGGTGAATGAATCATAACATCATAGGAAATGTTTCTATAAAAATATCGATGAATATAAATGAAAATTTAAATAATAGGAATATTTAGGTCCTGATAAAATAGTTACCTACCTACTTATAGGTCTTAGCCTAGCTAGTCCAATTTTCTTAATAGGTTTTAGTTTACATATTTTATTCAATCATGTATCTTATTTGTTATCAATTTTATTTTATTTTTTACTTCAAATTATTGGAGGGGAGGAGGGGGCGAAACGATATTCTCGCCTCCTCAACATTTTTATTCTAGAGGAGAGGGAGGGAGATCGCCCCCCTCATTCCACATAGTCTACTCTTATGCAGTCCTGTGATTATTACAGAAAGTACCATTCATTATTTCATTATTACTAACCTTTTGGCATAAAAGGTGTCATATTTCATAGTAAGGTTTGGGCTTATAAATTGACCATATCCACAGGCCTGATGGGCAAAATGCATGTCTCTTCTTCTCCTTAGGCCTTTGAAGTGAAGGTTCTTTCCCTTCCTCTGGTGGGGCTCTCTCCCCAAGTAAGGGTGTAGCGATAATTATTACTAACTTAAACGTAATTAAACATTAAACCAATGAAATATTTTTTTTTATTAATGGCGGCTAAAAAAGATATTTTTCAGTTTGGTACTCCTTCCCCCGCTAGTTACAACGCTGGGAAGATCCAAAGATCCATCCTTCATCATTCGAGAATGCTTCATAGCGTCAAAGCATAGGCTAAAATATAAATGACCAATCCTGGCTCATCAATCTGAACAATTCTAGATTTACTGGACCTAAAAGGAAATCAGAAATCGATTTTTATAGAATTTTGAAACTTTGAATTAAAATACAAATTTTCATAGTTCATATACGATTTCATTTGAAATAAGATAATGATTGAAATCTCAGGGATCTCATAGAAGAAAATATACAATAAGATTATATTGTTTTCAGATTTATTTATGCCTGTTCTTAATGTATTTCCCCATCAAGAATGTTGTTGTGCGGCGTTGGTCGGTACAATATACTATTATAAAGAAATCGAAGGTGATAGAGAAGCCTAATCCTTCCTCAAATCGATTGCTGTTTCTTGGAAAAAGCTAACAAGGATCCGACCACTCCCTCTCACTTCTTTTATTTCTTTCAGGTAGGTCTACGCCTGAGTCCTTGTTATTGTAACTTCTACCTAGCTAATTGCCATACTTTAGTCTTGTAAGTATTATAGTAAGGATATAAAAAATGACGATAAATGTTAGCTAATTTTAGCCTAATATGTTGGTGTTACAAATAAGACCTGTACCACTACAACTCATGAAGGGTCTGGGGTTCAGTACTATTTAGGGAAAGCACTGTTTCTGGGTCAACGGTTGTGCAAGGAGGTGATTTGTTAGAGATCACGCTCAACCGCCTGGTTTTCCCCCTTAATTAATTATTTAATTAAGAGTATACCCACTTTATAGAGGGTGGGTGAGCCCCAGAAGGGTTTCCCGACCCAGGGTCGCGCCACGGCCAATGAAATAGACAAATAAATTTTCTGCCATGAGCCGGGGTTCGAACCTGGGACCTTTGCATTGGAAGCTCAGTGCCCTACCACTGAGCTACCCCACTCTCCGGTGTTACACATAAATCATCACAAATTCGCCATTTTATGTTACAATTATATAGTAATTGTAACATAAAATGTTATCATTTTAATCCACTCGATTCCCTAATTCACTGTTTGGAATTTCTGAAGGCGAGATAGATACCATATGATCGCCTCCAATAGTACATATCTAGGGCTAGCAATTTTTTTTTATTGACTCTCTTAAATTTTTCACGATTCGGTGTCAAAACTGGAGGATTAAAATAAATTCTAATAAATCCCATCAAATAACCCCAACCATTCGTCGTAAACCTATGACTTTCTATCTTAAAATATACATTAATAATACCCCACTTGTCCCTGTTAAATAAATCCTATATCTTGGACAAATGTCTAAATTGGAATCCTCATACCAGGCTGAAACAACAAGAAACAGCTCGACTTTTCCGTAAGGCTTTTCTGTAAAATCCAGGAATTATGTTATAATTTCTCTGACTTCTGAAGGGTTGAAGGTAAGATAGTAAAATAATATGCATTCTTGACGGCAATTTAATGCTTAAAAACTTTCACTCAATGGCTTTTTCATAAAATGAATAGAAAAAGAGTTGGTTAGTAAAACAAAGATAAATTCTTTTTTCTTTCAAATTGGTGATTATTGAAAAAGGATATCTCGGAAACTATGCGAGATAGCGTAAAAATATATATAATCAATATTTTTGGAGATTTTATCAGCAATAATTTTGTATAGAACGCCATCTTAGAACGTCAAAGTAAGAGGTCACCCGAGGTTGATCCTCGGACTCGACAATACCATCCCCCCATTCCATTTAAAATGACGACCGAAAAACTTATGTCATTATAAACTGTAGCGCTTAAAAGGCTCTTATGATTTTAATGAAATATTCTTAAAGTTTTTTGCTTGAAGCCCTTTTAAATGTATGTGTATAACATAACCCCGAAAAGCTGGGAAACAAGTTAAGATAAATGCAAAGTTTTGTTTGAGACTACTAAAACAGTACATAGTTTTATTTGAAAGATAAAATTACCTAAAATAATATAATCAAAATCGGACTTCTTGAAACTGAGTTATGGCGTTTTGAACTTTTTTTTAAAGGCTATAAAGTAAAGTTTATTTATCTTATTTTGGTTTCTGATAATAAATATATGAATCTACTTCAGCGTCAATAGGTCGTTAGGGAAGGCTCCGAACTGGTTTATGTACACCCACTTATTAAGGTTGGAGAACTAAAAACATTAGCAAATGTAATGCCAGACCTGCTTCAAATTGCCGTCATTAAAAACAATTCCAGGATATAATATTACCTTGGCCTGCCCAGTTCGCTCTCTCACCCAGCAAGCCGAACAGGGAATACATAAGCCCACACGTTATATTCCTTTTAATTTTATTTATACTCTAAGTCAAGTGCGGACAAACTTAAGAAAAAACTAAATTAATATTTCTCAGTGAGCAGTATGGCATTGTTCAGAAAACGATATCGATTTCTCCTATATATTATAATATGTTTCATTTGAACTATAATTGGTCGTAACGAAGGATTGATTAACAGTATCAGATATGCCTAGAAGGGGGGCATCAAAATATTTGAACGCGGTACACTTTGGCGGGGTTTTGAATTTTTGAGGAGGGGGGTTGACTAGGTTATGACTTTTCGAAATAAAAGATTCAAACTGGGGGACAAGAGGAAAGCATAGATCAGAAACAGTGGACATGCCCAAAAGCCAGCTCAGTTTTATAATCGTAATTGAAAGTCATGAAAAACTTTATAAAATGGCTCAATTTGTAATCAGACA